GCTGACGACCGCAGACTGCCACACCGCGGTGTGCTGCGATGCGACCCTCGTCTCACCGCTGACGGGGCATCCACAGCCGGGAGCCGCCGAGACAGACGGGGCCGAGCTCCGCCAGCTCTCCGCTGCGCGGCCGCTGCGGGCTGGTCGCGCCGTTGGTGGGGCTTGCTAGCTGTGGCCGTGCAGCAGGCTGTCGCCATGACGGCACTCGCCGGATCAGCAGCGAACCTGAGTCGTTGGCCGCTGCGCTCGTAGAAGTTGACGGCGACAACCACTGCGGTAAGCAGCATAACGGGACACAATACGGTAAACGTGGCATCCAGTCGCTTCAGAAATGCAGCCTGTCAAGCACTGGTGAGCTCATGCTCGACGGATCCCGGCTGAGCAACGGGGCAAAAAGGGGGCCCGGCGCTATAGACGTGCAAAGTTTGAGTTTTCAAGAAACACTATCATCAAAGCCAGTTTCTGATAAGCCTGTGTTGGCAAAAGTATGTCACAATTCGGGCATGCACGGCTACACACATTTTTGACGGAGCAGTGTCATTTTGACCAAAGCATTGCCAAGGCAAGTGTGAGACACATTACATGAGCAAAATGTATCTACACTGACCACACCGCGCACCAGCTCCGGAACATGTTTCCACGACTTGTAGACGGAGAGCGCACTGGGACCACCGGACCGAATGCTGCTACGTCCTCGTGCAACAAAGCATGGAACATGAAACCTGGTGCACGGGTGCCGTGCCGTGCCGACTTGCAGACCCGTTGAACCGTGCATGGACAATGGCGGACAGGCAGTCGACCGCAAACGCCGGACTTACCCAGAACTGAGGCAAGCCCGGCTGCACCATGATGCACCGTTGGACGGCGCTTGCGTCGTTCGCCGCACTGCGCATGCGTGCTCGCTGCTGGGCTACCGATTGAGGGGCCCGGTGACCCAACCGACGGCCTTGAAGTCCCACTAGGGGAGGTCCAGGCGGGCCACCAGCCACCAGCGCCCAGCAGGCTGTGAGCACGGCTCGGAGCTGTAGACAGTAGGAGACGGACAGTCGCTGGACCTGCCCGTGGTCGGAAAGGTGCGTCAAAGAAAGGAAAAAGAATGTCAGCGCTTTTCGTGCCGTCTCTTTCTGGTGCTGCTCCTTCGCATGCTCAGCGAGCCGTTACAGCTTCGCCAGCTCCGCAGTTGGGGCTGGGACGCTGCCGTCGTTGCGAACAGTGTTGGTCACCGTCCCATTTGGTGAAGACCGACAACCAAAGAGCGCGCGCCCAGTCGGGTCTGCCGCATGAGCCAGTTGGTGGCCGATGTCTATCAGGTTCTACTTCTACTCCAGAATGGACGAAGAAGTCTATCTGAAAACATACTTGTGGATCCTTTCAGGTGTTCCGACTCTGCTGTACGTCGTTTGCTTTGTGCCGGTTTAGTGCTGCCAGGCGCTCGAAACGTGGGGCCTTTCGTCGATGTCTGTGACCGTGTTGTCAGAGAGGAGGGTTGTCGATGCTCGCAGGACCAGCGGACAAAAACGCGCGAAGACCGGTTGCTTACTCCTTGCTTGTTGTACATCATACCATCGGCTGTTGTTTGTTGTGCTTCGCGTTTTGTTGCATTGGCGCGTTTTCGCCGCTGCGGAACAACACGTCTGCACAAATATTGATCTTCACGGCATGTGCATGCTGCAGGTCAACAGCAAGGCCCTTAGCTACATCAGCTTTTCTGCACATCACGGTTGGTGGCCCGACAACTGGAGCATAACGAATCAGAGTGTAGGTCGTATGAGAGGGTTAATGTCAGCCCAGTGTCAGCCCGGTGCGTCGCAGTAGTAAACTTCATGTTTCTTTTGTTGCCATGGCATGAAACAGATGGAGATCTACACAGCTGCCGAAGTGGCGTGCCATGCGCAGCCAAGCGACTTGTGGGCTGCTTGCTTGCAGTCAAACGTTCACAACGAAATCTGTTTGAGGGTTTTTTGCCAAGAATGAGTGGCTGACGTTGTGGCGGGGCGATGCCTGATCAGGTGATATTGAACAACAAAGCATCTTGGTTTTTATTGGAGTTGGATCGCTATGCCGTCGTGGATCAAAAGCTGACGCGTGCAGCACTTCAGGTATATGATGTTACACATTGGCATGCTTTCCACCCTGGTGGATCCACCGTCCTGCTGAAGTACGGAGGCAGAGATGCCACCACAGCAAGCCGCTTGACTTGAACGTGTGTGCCATGCAAACGCCAACTTCAGCCGTCCAAGTCAGCCCCAACAGTAAACTTCACCAGCAGTGGGTTTCCAAAGCCAACTACAACTACAGTCGAAGTTCAACCGACATAACAACTTGAACAGTGAATTCGCCACTTGTTTGCACCAACCAACATTACAAAGCAATCCTACCATGACCGCAACCGAACCCATCAAACCCGCTGCTTGCCTGTGGTATAGCTAGTTTGGACTGCAAACGAGCAGCCCCCTCTCCCCGAAGAAGAAGACTGTAGCGATTATTCCTACATCAGAGTAGGCAGCCTTGCACACTCGCGGACGGCCCACTTAGGGCTCAGGCTGTCAACGGATGTCCAACTCAACAACAAAATATTTCTCGCCTTTGCGAAGTCATCCGCATTCCGGACTTCGGTGCATTGTACAATGCTGTACAACACAAACAAACCGAAGCGTTCACAGTGGTGTAAAAACCCAGGGATTCATCGCGAAGGGTGTGCCAGTTGTAAAACTTGCACCGCCCAGTAGTGCAAGCTTTGTAACAGCATAGGCGAAGTCAGCACAAATGTCTGGTACAAGAAGAGACCAACAAGGTGCTCGCTTAACCCATCGACATGCTGGAACTTCCGCTAGGCATGTTAGAATTTTCCAATACCGTGGTACATCAAGTAGCACGACTGATATTTTTTGCAGTTTTTTGCCATGTTTGCTATCAGCACCACCTTGCAACGATTCTTGTAATGTGTGCCAGGAGCAGGACAATGCCGCTTCTGCTACCCTTGAAGTTGCCATTGCTATGACTGCCACCACAACCAATACTGTACCAATGCCACTGCCACCAGCGCATCAGTCAGGCAGGGCCATTGCCATAACTGTACCATGACCGCGACCACTACCAGACCACTGCCGCCATGACCACGGCCGCCACTACCCCCTCACCGCTACTGCTACCACTACCCCTCCCACTCCCAAGACCACGACGACCACCACCACCAGCGCCGCCACCACCACCATCACCACCAGCATTGCCGCCTCTGCTACTGCTGCTCCTGCTCCTGCTGCGTCTGCTACTGCTACTGCTCCTGCTCCTGCTCCTGCTCCTGCTCCTGCTCTTGCTCCTGCTGCGACAGCTACAGCTATTGCTACTGCTATTGCCACGACGACAAACTACTGCTACTACGGTCGTAGCCGCTAGCATTACTTCTGCTGCCGGCACTTTCACTCATTCTGCTGAGGTGATTGCTATTCCAGCAGTTCTGTCAATAAACAGGGCTCGTTCCATTACTACCTGAAGGATATGGCAGGGAGCTGTGGTTGTCTGCATCATCATACGGCAGTGGTTGTAACACAAGGCGTCATCAACGGCAGCAGGCGACGGAGTAAACATAGCAGTCGTAATCGTCGCTATCGTGCTAAACGATTTTGAAGCCTCTGCAACTTGAAGCTTTAGCTTTCGGTGCTTCGTGAGCTGAGGCAACGATGCACACGGTGGCTTGAAGACTCTCGTCTGACATGGGCAGCAGGCCTCCGGTCTCGGAGTGATGATGGTGCACGAGCACGGGCAGAAACCGCACTGTATGATACGTTGTGGAAGCTCGTTTGTTTAGAAGACCGTATCCTACTGAAACTCAAATTTGTGTACGATATGTCAAGGTCGCTGGTCTGGGGGTTCCGGTGAAGCCGGAAAGCTTGATATGTCAAATGTCTGGCAGTTTGCGCATTCATATTCAGTGGTCTCAAGCGGAGGAAGGTGGCACATCTCCTACGTCTCGTTTTTATACGACCGCTAATCGACTGATTGCGCTGCTAGCCAGAAGAAAGCACTTGATGTGGTGCACGCTGGCCGCGTTCGCGATGCATTTTGTTCTTGTGCGCAACGACTCAGGAAGCCGCCCAGCATCATGCAACCTTGCTTCAAGTGGTAACATGTTGCTTTCAAACGCCTCTTGGATATAGGTGAAGCATCCAAGCCACACAGTGGAGTTTCGGTTGTTTGGCCCAAAGTGTCCTAGCACGGCTTAGTACGGCTTTGATCGCAGACTTGGGATATCCGGAAAATGAGCTCTGAATTCATGAGAGTTGGGCATGCTTTCCCTCGATGGCTCTAGCTTCAAGACATCTGAAATGCTTGTTCTTTTCTGGTAGTGTGTCTCAACATCAGCTTTGGTTGGGATTTGGGCTGCCCGGTGGTGAGTCCGAACTCGGAGGCTTAGCCAGGCCGCCCCCAATCTTGTGAGGCGTTTCAAGAGCGACGCAGCGTCGATAGTCGCAATAGACCAAGATGCGAAGCCCCAACAATCCAATAAACCTCAAATTCCAAGCCTTCAGCTTCAAAGCCCTACTCCAAAATTTAAACCGCCTCACCAAGGCCTCGTTATTGTATCGGCTTGGTCGGCACCGAGGAGGAAAAGCAGGCGTTGCAGAAGGAGAGGCTGACCAAGTTCATGGTCCAGCAGGCCACGGGCGCTGTTGCGGCGGAGATTCTCTTCGTTGTTTCGGAAGTTTTGAAGGGCACTGGGGCTTTTGCCGATAGCAGCTGCGCAAAATTGGATGCTCCAAAGTACTTTCATGGCATTGCTGCACTTCAGAGTTCTTTTGCCGGCAGGTAGGCTTGGCATACCGAGGCCCAATGAGGTCTTCACCATTGATGCCCAACTTTCAACTCAGCAAGTTCCTGTGTGTGTGTGTGTTGGTGATGAAAACATGTGCAAGGCGTTTAGTTGTAACATCACAAATAAGACAGCAAGCCATGGCAATGGCTGGTGAGTGGCGCCACGAATACGACCAAGAGATGGCTCGATGTGGAGCGACTGGAGCTCACTTCCTGGACGGCTGTCAGGAAATGACTACGAAAATCATATCCGCGAATTGCTGACCGGCTCATGCAAGGATCAAGGTGACAAGCGCATGGAACAGGCAAAGCTGAGTGAGGCTCTGCAACGAAAGCTGCAGAACTTGAAGTGCGAAGCAGTTGAGAATGCAAGAGAACATACTGGGGAGGCTCTCTGGAAGCGATTGTTCGGGGAGAATGATTTCAATGACGGACAAACCGGCAAAGCATCAGTGGAAATTGTGATGGCCGAGGACAAGGATGTGTTGCAGTGTCTAGGAGCGGGTGCGGAGATGTTGTTGGGAGATGCAGCTCTCCCCACTGGTACGGTTGTGGAAGTCACAGTGCAAGGACCGTTGTTCTACGTCAAGTGTTTTCAGCTTGAAAAGTATCTGACGATCTGTGCGTTGCAAACGCCACCGAAAGTACCACCTGCCGCCCTGCTTGTGATCAACCGCAAACCAATTGAGTGCCGTGACGACTGGATGAACGCTGTCGAAAAGTTCCCTAACCTTCAGACCTTGGCACAGCAGGGCAACTTCAGGATTGCGTATTGCCCACACTCGGTTCACCATGCACAGTACCGGCAAAAGATGGTCGAAAAGGACGAAATCATTGTTGAAAAGGACGAAATCATTGCCCAAAAGGACGCCAAAGTCTGCCTTCTCAGTGTTCTGTTGCTTTGTTTGCTTGCTTGGCAGATTCTGCAGAAGCTGCCTGCCTACGCAGTGAAAGGCACAGACCTTTGAACTTGCTGTACAGCTGGAGACATCCGGGAGAAAGTCAGTGGCATCAGTTCTTTTTCTTGAGTTTACAGGATTTCGGTTTTCGGGTTTTCGGGCAAAAGGCAGGAGTTCGCAAGCCCCAATCATTACCAATACTTATGCGTCGGATGCCATCATCCTAAGACTTGTCAAACCCGAATGCCTTGGGCTCGGGGTCCACAGCCTCTTGAGTTTAGGGTTTACGGCGTGTCGAAGGGCTTTGTCTGCGCACTGTCTTGGTAATAGTTTCCCGTAGTTCGTAGATCGGAAAGGGTACTGTAGCCTGTAAGTGGCACGGCGGAGCCGTAACGACGGCTGTCGACAGAGCTTGTACCGAGGAGTTATCGATTTTTCAACAACCCAGCAAGCATCGCAAAGATACGCTTTTTGGCCTCCCCGGAAGTCTTCAAGACTTCAGCGGTCGGGACAGCTGGTGCTTGCAAAAGGCATGCGGTTGAGGCAGGCAAAACTCAGAAGTGCGAGCACTCGTGGCGCAAAGCCCGCGAACGGGTGTATGCGCATGGACACATTACACTGACAAGCGCATGTGCCCATGCACAATCATGCACATGTGCACGCACATGCTCAATGAAATCGATTGCTCAGGTCTGAACATTTTGATAGAGCATCCCCGGGTGGGCTCATTCCTCCAAGTGCATGCTGGGGTCATGTGGCGAAGTTAGGCTGTACTGTTGCGCTTATGAACACGTCTGCCGATTGCTCCTGGAGGATCACATTGCCTCCTCGCCTGCAATCATGAGCCAAGAGAGTTCAGACATGTCGAGATGCAATCCATCAGCGCGCGCCGTAGCTGGCTTTCGACCGAAAGAAGATGTCGGTGTTTAAGTTACCATCCGACATCCAAAGCACAACAACGTCAAATTGCGTGTAGAAATCCGCTAAATGTCCCTGCCTCTGTCAACGCTGTTTCAAGACCTTTTAGCGCCCAATCAGGGTGTACGCACGCGCACGCGCGCGCATGCGCACGCGCCCACATGCGATCCCCTTTCGATATAAGCTCCGTGAAATTGAATTGGGTGGGTTAGCCCCCTATGATATGGGTTTCGTCATTTCAAAGAGGGTCATCTTGTAGTGAGGATCCGGCCTGCCACACGAGCCCGGGCTTCATATTGGAACATAGCTTTGGATCAGCAGGCCGGATGTAGACGCTGGGCCATTGTATAGCAATGCTGGGGTCGGCATGTTATCGGGCCAGGCAGTGTGGGATGCGTGGCGGACCCTCCGATGGCCCTACCACCGAAACAGAAGCCCATATACCCTGTTTGTGTCCAGCTGGTAAGTCAAAGGCTCCAAGGGTGGCGTGAAGGGCATCCGCCTTCATCCCACCTGCTGAGGCTTCCAAGCAAACACAGCGCAAACCGAAAGGTAGAGCGTGAAGCTGCTTTCGTCAATTAGCCTCACCTCTAAACTAAAAACTCCGAGAGGCCCAGATGGCTAAAACTCCGTCAGCGGCATCCGTGGAGCCTTCTTCCAGCTCTGCTCCAAAAGCGGAGCCCCCGCTGCCACCGCCGGCGGAGAAGCCTATGCCGAAGGAGGTCAGGGGGGTTCGATCTTGGGTGGCTTGAGGTGGCATGTGTGGTGTGTTCTGTTTGCTCGTGAATGTTATGGCAATGGGACTTCAGAATTGCACCTCAGGACCAAATACACTGCTGCGACCGGTGTGTCTGTAGCTTTGCCGGACGACTCAGATGAGAGCGAGAGAGAGAGAGGTACAGCTAGAGCACGAGAAGACGAATGGAAGCCCAGGCTGTAGAGTGGGCCCACCGCTCTACTTCTCCGGGTTCCATGTCGCTTTGCTTCCACAAAAACCGAATGTATTCAAGAAGATGGTGCTGGGCGTTTTGTCCAGGAATCTGGGTTCTTGGAACAACCGCGAAGCACTGCTTCATGCTGTATTGCCAACCCTTGTGCCTTTTCTTGTCTGCCCAAACGTGCAGAGAGGTTCAGGGCACTCGAACATCAACACAATGCTGCGTTGGAAGTTCATCTGGCTGAGGGCCGAGGGAAAGGGTCTTTTGCTAATTTGGTGTGGGTTTTGGAGTGGGGCATGCGATTCATTGGACAGTTGCGACATGTATTGATTTCATGTGAGTCACTCCGGCACTTGCGGGTCCGCAAGGCTAGTGTTTCAAATGGTGAAGCGGTATCAACAGTCATGCAAAAGCACCAAGCCTTAGGCTGCCAAAGCACTTCGGTGTTGTTCGGCGAGGCGGATCCCAGCTCTGCGTCGGTCGCCCGTGCGACCTACACTCTCTTGCTGGAGCCCGGGGCGTAGTGTTCAAAACTGCAGGTTGGTGAGTCAAAGTCGGGCTTCGGATACGTGGTCATTCGTGGCTCTGGCTCGTTGGGTTTTTTAGGTTTTGGACTCAATCAATCCAAGCCCATGCATGAATCAAGGTCTTTGGATTGTGTACAATGCCAGGCCTTTGCGTTTCTCTGGGGTTTCGGAGATCTGGAGCCAAGCCCGTGTTTCTTCCGGCAGACCTGGATGATGGGGTGTCGAGATTTGGTCCCCGCGCTAGGGAATTGTGCTGTCGCAGGGCTTCCATCTCACAACTGGTGGATTTGAGCTTGGAGGCATCATGCCCTGATTTTTTCCCCCACGGTTCCTCGGCCGCTGCACGAGCGCGAGCCGATTCTGCTGCAGTCCCACGCCCGAAGCCTTGAACCTCCAACATCCTAAAGCCCTCAAGTGGCCCAAAGCCCTGAAGCCTGCAGTCAAGGCCTTCTTCTGCCAGCATTCAGAAACAGCAGATGGGAATCGAAACGGCGGTGAATGCTTGCACGAGCCAGTTTGACACCGCAGACCCAAGTGCAAGTGTCGCAGTGTAGCATAACAAGTCATTGCAGCGTAACTTCCAGTCGCGGCACTTGCAGCCGTTGGCAATGCAGCACCAATTCAACAGGCGAGGGTTTTATGGCGAGGTTCATAAACGAAGGCGGCAAGAACCAGTTTTCACACCTTAAGGAAACGAACGGCAACCAAACTTCCAGTCTCTCCCGCTTTGAAATCCCAGCCCCCCCCTTCCCATGCCCAAAGGAGAGAATGGCGGCCGAGAGGCAGGCAGCTGAGCGGATGATGTCGCAAGCCAAGGCCCGAGCCTGGCACTCCGCACACTCCTCACACTAATCCTCTGATCCTCTAAGCCTCTAAGGGCCTACTCTCTGTAATCCTCGAAGTTACTCTAAGTTACTCTAAGTTGGCTCTACGAGGGCCTGCATAGGCCTGCCCGGAGATCGCTTGAAGTCCCCTTCCTTTGGGGAGGCCGCCGTCGGCCGGGCCACCGCCCGGCTCTCCGGCCGAGCGCCAGGCCACCAGGGATGAAAAAGCGGAGGGAGGGCCCCCTTAGAGGCCTAGGGGCTTACAGAGAGTAGGCCCTTAGAGGCTTAGAGGCTTAGGGGATTGGAGGCTTCGAGGATTTCGGAGAGTGTGCTGCTGTCATTAGCTGCCACTAGCTGCTGGCCCCCTCAGGGTTACTGGTAGCGATGATTAGCGATGCTTAGCGATGAATGTTGATGACGACGACGGATGATGTCGAAGGTCGTTGTTCTTGCATGCAGGATTTTTTCAGCGAGGTCAAGTCAACAGGAATTGGGCACACAAGAATCAAGCGAGCTGCGCTGCCTTTTTGAGTGTTTGTCGACGCAACATTCGGCAGCTGTGCTCAGTTTGACCGTCAGTGTGGACTTAGACATGGCTTCTTAACTGTCGTGTTTGGGAGCGAGGGCGGGATCCCTGCATCTGTCGTGTCGGTGCCATCGTGCATTCCAGCATGCCGGACTGCCAGCTTGGAGGAGGGGGTTCGCTTGGCCGGCAACACGCCATGACGGGCCTTTTCGCAGGCAGTTTGCCAGGTGTTTGCGAGTTCGTGATGAGTGAAAAGCCAAGCTTGTTGTGTGGACTCTCGTCGGCAACGGGTGGTGCCACTTGTCATGCTCGATGACCGGAATGCTTGGTGCAGTGCGGCAGTGCTTTCAGGTGCCTCTGCCGAGCCGGTGTCAGCTTCGAAGCATTGATGCAGCAGTGTTTATTCAGATTTAGGGTTGCGAGGTGCTTCCTGTCACCAGCCAGAGAGACTTCCAATGCTGCGAAGGCGGAAGGTGTTGAGCAACACTCTGGAGGTCTTGCTGGAGTGGGGCTGGTGTCGTCTGGAGTTCAGGTCTAACACACTGGCCTCGCAGTCGGGCCCAGGTTCTCCTTGGAGTTTGAATGCAAGTAAACCGCAGTTGGAACGATCTTCATGTCTGGAGACGACGAGCATGAGCCAATAAGCCTGCAATGCCAAGGAGGCCGGCTGCCGGCACGGAGATTGAAGACCAGGTTGGTGGTTTCGGCATGGGCATGATGTGGCTATGTCGAGTTCGTGGGGACACTTAGACTTGCTTCCCAACTCTCCAGCATGCTGCGGTTTCGGCACAGCAACTCCTTGTCTTTTGAAGCCTTGCCCGAACCTAGTAGTTTGCAGGTCGAATGGGGTTCAACGTACGCAGGTCCCATGGCTGAGGCTTCGGGAACAGGGTGGTAAAAGCGCTCAAGGAGGGGCCTTCCCTGCTGTTTCTGGGCTGGCTAGCGGCTGGAGTGTGGAGAAAGCAAAGAGTCTGTGCCGAAGATTCCTGGAAGGTCCTAAGCCCCGAGCCCTGAGATGTTGCTTGCGTTGACAGGCGTCTCGAGCGAAAGCTAACAAAGCTCCCGGTCACCTCGATGAAGAGAACGCAGCTGCAGAGAAGGCAGCTGCAGAGAAGGCAGCTGCAGAGAAGGCAGCTGCAGAGAAGGTCGCAGAAGAGGCAGCGGCCAAGAAGGCAGCGGCTGAGAAGGCAGCTGCGGCAAAGGCGGCCGCGCAGAAGGCCGCAGAGAAGGCAGCAGCTGACAAGGCTGCGGCAGCCAAAGCTGCTGCGCAGAAGGCTGCAGCTGACAAAGCCAAGAAGGCTGCTGCAGAGAAAGCTGCTGCAGAGAAGGCTGCTGCGGAGAAGGTTGCTGCACAAAAAGCGGCTGCGGAGAAGGCTGCCGCAGAGAAGGCTCAGAAGGCAGCCGCAGAAAAAGCAGCCGCGGAAAAAGCAGCCGTGGACAAAGCGGCTACTGAAAAGGTTGCTGCAGACAAAGCGGCAGCAGAAAAAGCTTTGGCTGAGAAGGCCGAAGCGGAGAAGGCACTAGCAGAAATGAAGGCGGGGGTATGCCGCTGGCTGAGAGTTGTCTGCGTCCATCTTGGTGTCTTGAGTCTTTGCCTGAAAGTCAAACATTCGAAAGCGGTCTTTAAGCCACTTGAAGCGATATCCGCCCGTATACTTTGATCTGTGACAATCCATAGTCTGCGGCTCGATTTCTTGTTGGAAGTTGCTTCCAAGCCTTGCGATCCCTGCTTCGCGTTACGAATCGCCCAGCTCAGAATTCTCACTCTTCGGTTTCTGTGCTGAGCTGGAGTGGAGTCGAATTCTGCTAGCATCAGGCCGCAAAGGAGGAAGCGGAGAGGGCAGTGAGGGAGATGAAGGCAGCTAGGGGTTCCATCCAAGCATGCTTGTCACTTCTACTTCTACTTGTGCTGCTACTGCTTCTTTTACTTCTACTTCTACTTCTACTTCTACTTCTTCTACTACTACTGCTGCTACTACTACTACTACTATTACTACTACTACTACTACTACTACTACTACTACTACCACTACTACTACTACTACTACCACTACTACTACCACTACTACTACCACCACTACTACTACTACCACTACTACTACCACTACTACTACTACTACTGCTACTACTACTACTACTACTACTACAAGCGTCTCGGCTGAGGGCCAAAACAGGCCAAGCCGTGAGGGTAGATTTGTGCCAGCCATTACGAAATCAGCTCTGCAGCAAGCTTGAAGTGTGGCCGCGATCAAGGGAAAAACAAGAATTTCCGGCTTTACGCTTCGACGCTTGAAGATTGGGCCCGGCGAGGGCCAATGCTTGCAGTATTACTACTGCTAGCTGCATGGTGGAATGGCTCGGCTGCACAGCTGTATCTGAATGTTCCTACGAAAGCCTCGACCCCTGGATACCGAACCACAACAAGATTACAGTGGACTTGGAAGCCACGTACGCCAGAGAGTTGTTTTCCAGGCCGCGTCAAAGGCTTCAATTTCTGTCGGCAATGGGCCAACTTATGTTGGCAAAGGCGAGAGCTCATGGAGGCTACTCTGAAAACCTCACCTTCTTTAATCGATGGGACATGGAATGGACAGCAGACTCCCACCCTGGACGGGCACTACAGGCAGCTAGGAGATCACCTTTTCCTCCTGATGAATACGAGTTGCATAAATGGGTACGACTGCACTTCCCCAGCTGGCTGCCAAGTCTTTGGTCTGCAGGAGAGCCACCGTCCCCGCTGCTGGATCTTAATCAGATGGACCCCTGACCAGGTACCTCAGTTTATAGAAGGTTGCGACTGCCCTGGTCGAACATGTAGAAGATGGCGCTTCCGCTTCTGTCCAACGAGACGCAGGCGCTATCGGAGAAGGAGAGCTAGAGTGAAGTATGTGCACCCCGGATACAGGATCTACAGAACTTTCCGAAAGATGCTATGCAAGCTCCGAGCCACAGCCACGTGCCCCTTGCATGTTTTCACGCGACTGAGTACAAGAGTTAAGCAACAACATGTTCACTTCTTGAAGCTTGTCTGGACCGCAGTGAGAGCGAATGCACATATACTGGGATTGTTCACGGGAGATTCGGCTCGAAGTGGGCCCTTTCTGCGAGAACCCCTGCCTGAAACATCGCAAAGCATGACCAGTGAGAGAGAGGGCAAGGGACGTGGAACGATGACAGCCGGGCTAGCGGAGAACCCAGTGGAAGGCCCGGGGGAGGGCCGAAACCACGGTGATGACAGAGAGACCGAAGGCCTGGAACCGGGCGAGATGAGCGAAATGGGTAACATCGACTCAGAGGACATCGAAGATGAAGAAGATGGCCCAGGACCGGAGGAAGGAAGAGCGGCACCATGCACACCGGGAGGCACTCCGGAGCCAAGAGGACCACCGCCTCCCCAGTGCGTACAGACTGTGCAGTGACCCAGGCCTTTGCGGAAGATGGGACGGAGGTGAATCAGATGCTGGTGCTTGTGCCCTTCGACTACAGGTCCATGGGGGACATGTTGGTTCGGATTGAGCCATTGAGGGGAGACTTCAGACTGCACCCCAACCTCTTGGTGTCGAATGTCACTGATGCGGAAGATGAAGTCCCGGACACGGCAGGGGCACCCTCGGGTACAACTCCCTTGGGCACAAGCACGGGCAGGACTCCCTCGAGTATGACCCCCTGGAGTTTGGCCTCGAGCATGGCATCCAGATCCAGCGGTGTCGGGCAAGCCATTGCGGTTTCGCCGAATACACCGCCACTACGGCCAACTTCGAAAGCGGGGGCCAATGCACCATGGAGGCGCAAGCGACAGACGACCTCTGGTGAAGCATCGCAGCAGACTAACCGGAAGCTCGAGCCTCATTTGATCAGAGTACGTTTTTGCATGTTCTCTGCCCTTAAGTCTGACCAATTGGTGTGCCTCTGCCTAGGCACCGTCGCTCTGATAGACCTGAGTAGGACTCTTAAGATCCCTCACCCGTGCTTGGGCAAGAGTCCTCGGCAATGCCGGGCCCTGACAGCTGTGATTGCACAGATTATCTCGCAAATGGGCCCGCTGGTGAAAAGAAGCCTGCCAGAGACGGTGTACCGGAAGGGTGATGCAAACAGCATATTCATATTGTCAGCTTGTACCATCTCGACGGCCAGGTACCACTTGAAGATCCTTCCTGCACAGCCGGCGGGTGACTTACATTACAGCATATCTTGGTCTCTTTTGGTGCATGGCAACTACCTGGACAGGTCCAGTCTCTACTACATCCGGACACAGCTCACTCAGCTCCTCTTGATCCTTTTCATCATGCAGGCAATCCTATCCGTTATCAGAGTTTTCAGCCTTACTGACTCGAATCTACAGACAAATACTGTGGAACATTCAGGAACAGCGACCACTACTACCCCACGGAGAACCAATCTCAGCGGCGCCGGTCCCAAGTCCGGCGGTGTTCACAGGACATGCCATTACACCACAAAACTTATCTAGGTGATTCTAATTGCATGTATACAATCTACACTCTCTGTGAGCACAGACGCGAGGGTTGACGTTCATCCCACTAGGACGTCTGAAGCCGTCACGGCGAAGCCAGTGGGACCATGGGATGCCAAAATCCCGGGCACACAGTCAGGTATTTCCAGATGTGTCAAACGTAGCTATAAGCGAGCATATGCGAGGTCATGCCGGGAAGGTGGAGCCTTTTATCGAGGCATCTGGCGGCATCATCAGTGGTTCCAGCCGACGTCTTTTCGTACACAACCCCTGCACAGGCATCCACCTCGTCAATCTAAAGGTCGTTCAATCAAGATGCTTACCTGGAATGCAGGCGGCCTACACGCATCGATCTTTCGCGAACTCACCACCTATCTCGCAGATGAGGCCATTGATGTCTGTGTTGTGCAGGAGACACACTCGAAATACGATGCCAATTGGAGCACCCCCGATTTTCACTTCGTGCATTCCTCAGGACACAATAAAGAAGACAAACAAGGAGGAGTTCTGACCATTGTCTCAACCAAGGTGGCAACAAGCTCAGAACTGCAGTACCACGAGATCTGGCCGGGCCGCCTACTACATGTGAGAATCAACAAGCACCAGCCCATTGACATTCTGAATGTATATCAATATACAGCCAATGATCACCCTCTCACCCCGGAGCGCAGGCACAAGTATCTACTACGACTTCGGCACGCCATCAGTGGCACTCCCAGTCGCCATATCATGATTCTGGCTGGCGACTTTAACACCACATGTGTTACCACCCCGAAGGTTTGTGGAAAATGGGTGCTTCCTGCCAGCGACGCACACAACAAGGACAACAACGACTTCATGTCTATCCTTGCCTCCTATAGCCTCGCTGCTTTAAATACCTGGAACAGGCCTGAGCACCATCAGCTGGCCACCTTCACCTTTGGTGCGCTTGCATCCCAGATTGACTACATCATCTGTAGACAAGCGGATGCTAACAGTCAGGCCAAACAAGCAGCGATTGTGCCATATTTCCCGGTTGCAAGCTGGAGAGAAGGAGCCAATCACCACCCTGTCCAGGCTCACATTCGCATACCACATCATATCAGTTCAGTACCACCAATCCACATGAACCCCAGGATCGACATCAATCGCGTCATCGAGGACATCCAACAGCCGGAGCCCACACAGGCTCTCAATTCACTGCGTTACAGCATCAATAAGGGCATTAGAGATGGCGAATGGAGCACGCTTCCGCAACTTGAGGAAGGCCTACTCAAAGCGGCACAGGAGCTCTATCCTAAGCGTGCTAAAGGTGATCCACACAAAGAGGCAGATATGCAGTTGTCACACTGTGCTCGAAGCATGTGGGCACTTTTCCGTGAGACGAGAACACACCCCTTCAGCCTGAACGGCGTCTTCGGTTCATGGAGGCAATGGTCTCAGTTTTCTAAGGCACACAGAGAGCACAAACAGAAGGCCAAAGAAAGAAGCAAGGCATGGCGAAGAGATCTGATTCTGAAGGCCCAACATGCAGCCGAGAACCACGACATGTTCCAGATCTGGGAGGTAGTCAAATGTCTGGCCCCCAAGACTAAGCGCAAAAAGCTGCAGCTGTACAGGAATGGACACATGATGACTCCGGAAGCCGAGCTTGACTGGATTATCGAGGAGTTTGGGGAGCGGTACGGCGCCAGAACCCCACCAAATCGGCAACACATCAGACAACATGATCCAATACTGATTGGTCCAGCGGAGGTATGGCATCAACTCGAACATCTACCTGCTCGAAAGGCAGTTCCTGCTCACATGGCTCCTTCCGTACTTTGGAAAGCATGCTCAGCTGAAGTTTCAGTCTTCATATCTCAACAGGTCTGTGAACAATGGAGCTCCCCGGTTCTACAAGTACAACAAGAATGGGCCGATGCCACAGTAGCCCTCTTGCCTAAGCCAACTGGTAAGAACGACACACCTCTCAGCTGGAGGCCGATTGGCCTACAACATCCGGTCGGAAAAAGCATCATGAAGATTATCATCGCACAGGCAAAGGACCAGATTCACGACCTCGTCAAGAAGTGGCCCCAGTGTGCATACGTACCCAACAGGAGCACCACTACGGCACTCAAAAGAGTCTACAAGCACTGTGCAAAGGTGCGGGAGACATGCAGTCAACATAGATTGAATCTACACCAACTCAAGGATGGAGCACAGCCAGTTCGGAACTATGGAGGACTACAAATAAGTATGGATCTGTCAGCAGCTTTCGATCTTGTCTCCTGGGCTACCATCAAAGATGCGTTGGAGATGGCACAAATTGACCCAAGTGTACAGGAAGTCCTCCTTCAGTGGCTCAGCCAAGTTCGCTACACATTCCAGCACAAGGGTATGGAGAAGGACCTCTGGCCATCATGGGGATTAAGGCAGGGATGCATCGCAAGCCCAGTGCTCTGGGCAGCCTTTACTGCTCTGCTCAGTCAAGCCATAGACAAGCGCATTGATTGAGGAAAAGTGGAGCTCAGACCACTCCACGATGTATGCCGACGACACGCACTTACAATGGACCTTTCATAGTCTTCAGGGCTTTGAGCAAACCATCAGTGAGCTGAACAGAGTCATCGCTGTCTTCAGGCGACTGGGAATGAAGGTGAACACGAACAAGACCAAGGCCATCCTTCGCCTCACAGGCAACATGAAGCATTACATCAAGAAACACTACATTCGCTGTCGGTCAGGAGCGAAGGTTGCTTCTTTCTCCAGGAGACCCCACAGTATGGATCCAGCTGGTGGAACAGGCAGAGTACTTAGGACTGATCATCTCTTACGACAACTTTGAGCTACAGTCAGTCAAGCACCGAATCAACAAGGCACACAACCGTCGATGGTCACTGGCATCCGTCCTTCACACCAAGAAGGTCTCGGTTCCGTACAAGCTCAATCTCTGGCGAAGCTGCGTGCTCTCTACAATGCTGTATGCTTTGCATAGTCTCTGTCTTGGCGCAGGTCAAATATGCTTGCTACAGCGAGCTATCATGCGACACATCCGGGCCATCGTCTCGGACCAGGCCTTTCAAACAGGGCACACGCATGAGGACATCATGACTAAATACAACATTCATACTGCACAAGACCTCCTTGAGCGAGCACATGAACGTGATCAACAACAAGCAACAGCGACCGACTGGCTCGTGGACTCAGAATGGAACCACTCCATTTCTCGGGCCTTGCTCGAGGCTGCTCAAACCAAAGAACCAGAGTCGGACACTGAGAAAGCCATCTGGGCTTGCCCTCTATGTTCCGAGCAGTTTGTCTCGCAGGCGGCTCTCAAAACGCATGCCAGGCGTGCACACAAGATTGTGGCACAGCGCAAGAACATCTTCAACCGCATCGTGCACTCTGTTGGTGGACTCCCCCAGTGCTCTGGTTGTCTCAAGCGCTTCAGCAAATGGCAGTCACTTGAAATCCACATCAACACCGATGCTTGCACGGCGCAGGTGGTAAAGGACCCACGCAACAAGACTGATTTTACAGAAGTGGATGCAAGCCAGACTACGATGCCAGCACCTGAGCAAGCCCTGACTCCAGAGACAACCCAGGAGAACATCTTGCACACCGAGGTCAACAAAGATGCCGTGACTACTGATTGCCACACACCCTGCTCTGGACCTATGAGAGGGGTTCTGGAACAAAAAGATGGAGCGACTGACTACCACTACCAAGACAACAGTGAACCAGCACAATCATCAGTTATGTCACCTCGGCACATTCTTCAGGCAGAACACCCGAGTGACCCAGTTCCACAGCAGGTCGTACCAGTGCTCTTTCAAGAACGTGTGCTTCTTCTTGTGCAAAAGGGGTTGAATGCCTTCATTGCTGACACAAGCATTACGGCCTCAATGCAGCAGTCCTGTGCTTTATGTGGGCAGTGGATAGCCTCGCAGAAAGTGGTCAAAACGCACTATCAGCACACACACAAGCATCTTTATCAGCAACTTGCACATAAAGCCCTCAAGCTCATCGAGCAGAAAGCCACCCCGTGTGTACAGTGCCACTTCTGCCACAGGCGAACCAAGGACTGGAAAGCACATCTCTTCAAGTGTACCACGTTGTGGCAGTGTGCTTTTCTCTGTGTGTTACACGAGGAACATGGCCTTCGGGGACCCGGATTGGGACGAATTCTTTGGAGAGGTCCACGGGGCGGATCTACCAATGATGCCAAGTACGTCTCCGTGGAGCCAAGCGCCGACAGAGAGTCCATTCCCATTCACAGGGAACAAAAGAAGGAGGGATCCATTTGGAGATCAGAGACCGGTCCCACACCCCGACATGAGACGCCATCCCTTCCAGGCACCGCCTCCTCGACATCACAACAGAGACCCATTGCTATATACTTTAGCAAAAACGGTTCTGCAACAGCAGGAAGAGCTGAAGGTTCTCAAACAAGACACGGCCCTGGTGCTCTTTCTACGTCCAGGGGAGGACAGCGTACTTCATCACCTGTACAAGGTGGCGGCGCACTTCAAGGCCAAGCAGGATCAGGATGCAACATGGCAGCTAGGCCAGAGCCCTCTTCGAATGGTTTTAGCAGTGGCCCTTTTGAAGGAAATCACCGACAGACTGAATCAGACGATAGCTTCGCAAGAAAGACTGAAAAAGGCAGTGGACCAAGGGTGGAGGGACTCCCAAGGGGGCTGGAGATACCAGGTTTGGAATCACAAAACCAAACAGCTCCAGACCGACAACAGCCGGCCACCAATTCCGGAAGACAAGCTACTCGACCACCTGGCCACCATCATCCAATGCCTTCGCCAGCCCATTGTCAACAGATTCCGCTGTACGCGGAAACTTATGGAAACAATGTCGAGCCCAGCTACGTTCAAATTAGATCTGTCGATCCGCAGTCACAGTGCTTTGACGATGTGGGATACCATGAAGATGTTGCAAGGGAATGCAGTTTTCCAACTTGCGGGAATGGCCTTCAAGACGGAAAGTCTGGCCAGAGGGCCAGCCGAGCACAAGATTGCGGAGATGATTTATGGCAGGAGGTAGCTCCTCGCCAGACGTTTGCGACCCAGCTTATTCTGCGCAACAACAGCTCACTCTGCTACATGAACTCCACTTTTCAGGTCCTGGTATGGCTTATGGAACAACTTCGGTTGCCGAGCATGTTGCTGAGTGGAACAGGTGCTACACTGTTTCATGATGTTTTTGCCAACCGACTTTCCTCACCATACAGGTTGACTGATGATCCTCGGTGGCAAACTCTGATCGATGATTCGGGAGAGGTTCATTGTCAACATGATGTTTGCGAATTTTTGTCATATCTCTTGCAGAAGAACGATTTCGGTCTGTTTCAAGGCTCATGGCAGGCACGTTCGCCTACCATGGCGGGGGAAATGCAGCTGGTGGACACAGGCCAGTGCACACAGTCCATTGTCCTGCATATGCCATCCGGCTACCCCACGAAATCAACAACTTCGATCAGGATTCAAGCCTTGGTGGACACCTGGTGCAGGGGACTTGACAGGATACAGGGATTGACGGTAGCGCCCCCAGTGATCTTGCTTCAGCTCCATCGCTTCACACAACAACGAGATCGAGTTCTCAAAAACCATCTCAAGGTGCAGCTGGACCCTGTGATCCAGATGCCTTGCTTTTCGGGGAGCAGGCACCGTCTTTCGCAGCAAACATACAAGCTCCGAGCATTTATCGACCATCATGGAGCCACACCGACATCAGGACACTACATGGCCAACCTGGTCAGTGACGGGTGCCTGTGGGGCTGTGACGATGGTAGGGCAGCGAAAGTGAGACAGGGACAAACACATCGACCTCCTGTTACCAAAACTGGATATGCTCTCTTCTACTGTCTTGATGGAGCTGCTCACGCCTCGCCTTCAAATGAAGGTCTGGCACACACTGGCGATGCACATGCTATAAATTAAGGTTCCTCGGAACGGTGTGTGTCGATACTTGACTTTTCTCTTGAGATGATCAAATGTATCATGAGCCAATCGGTTCCGGGCATTCGAAATGCCTGCTCACTCCCGACGCATGGCGACAGGACTCTCCTCGCTGCGAGTGAAGCTGAAGCTACTACTACTACTACTACTACTACTACTCGGCAAAAAAACTACTACTACTACTACTCCTCCTCCTCCTACTACTACTACTACTACTACGACTACTAACCATGTTGCAGCATGAGCATTTCAATTAATGCCCGAACCCTGAACAGGGCCCCCCGCAGCTCTGCTGCTAGTACAAACCTAATGAGATGCTCAACTGACACACGAAGTAGCAAACCTGTAAGGATGAAGGAAGACGACGAAGAGTGTTTTTTGTCGGTCAGCTGTGGTGAGCCTGTACTAGGGTTTTATGATACTGGGTTGTTCTGATTTCTGGTCGTCTCTTCCATCCCAAAGCTGAGCACTCCGAAAGTAGTCATAGCGGCAGAACTGAAGGACGAGAGAACAGGGTTTTGAGGACAGTTGTGGTGAGCCTTTAAATGGGTTGTTCTGCAGGCGGTTGTTTTGTAACAGTCGTCCTTGCCTTCCAGTAGCTTGGCAGTGTACCATATGTTGATCGTTGAAGTAGCTGAAATTCCCGGATCAATGGAGCCTACTAGTGTTCTTTTATCTGACGATTTGGTCTTTGTTTGTTTTGTTTGTTCAAGGTGGGCTCTGTTGTGACTAGTTACCATTCAGTCCTCGCGGAGCTGTCATCGGCGTGCTCTGCGAGTGACAAAACGACTAGTACTACTTCTGCTGCTGCTGCTACCACAACGGCGACGACTGCGACTACTACTACTACTACTACTGCTACTACTACTACTACTACTACTACTCTACTACTCTACTACTCTACTACTCTACTACTACTACTACTTCTTCTTCTACTTCTACTACTTCTACTACTATACAACCGCCACTACGACCATTATCAGTATGAATATGCTTCTTCTGCTATTACTATACCACTTCTAACTACCACGAAGACAGCGTTTTTGACGGCTGTTGCTTCCACAACAACAACTACTGCCACCCCTGCTACTGCTGCCGCTGCTGCTGTTATTGGTATTGTACAGCCACTGTGACAAGAACTCTTTCCACTACTGAATCAAGCGGTGTCCACTGCTTCGGCAGCTGATCTGTGATGCTGTTGCTATTGTACAGCTACACAACACGTTCAGGGATGACCTCAGCCTTTATCTGGCGGTGTTGCCACGCCCAGGAGAAGGCCGAAAAGGCACAGCGAGAAAAAGACGCTGCCGAAAAGAAGGCGACAGAAAGTGGACCGCGGTCTCTGAGATGGCTAAAATATGACAAGCGTGGCCTTGTATCTTGCTTCCCTGGCTCAGCTTTCATCTCGATCTCGCGTGGGTCCTGTTGCCGCTATTTGCCTTTTAGGTGTGCGCCTTTCCCAGCCACTCTTCGTCGCCCAAAGAGTGTTAAAGACCGGCGTGAAATCTGTCCGCCTCCTGTGGTAGCACTTCCTTGCGCACGGTCCAGCTGCCGTACAAGGCCAAGCAGGCGAAGAAGGAGGCCGAGAAGAACACGCCCAAGTTGCTCATCACATTCAAGTCTCCGGATGGCAGCTTGATCAAACCTATCGTCCTGAGGGCTCACACCGCTGAGGAACGACTCGAATGAAATCGTACAGACGTTTTCTACATCCAGGGTCCAGAGCATACCACCGTCAACTTCAGCAGGGTCCTGCCTGCTCCTAAGCCCTACTAAAGGCTGGTCTTCCAAAGGGCTCCTGGGCCAGTTTCTACAGGCTGAAGCTTAAGTTTCAGCATTCTCGGCAGGTCCCGAAGCGGATTATGTCAGCAGACCTCCCTCTGTCCCGCTGCAGTTGCAGCCGTGCACTACCCACAGGCAGGGACAACAAGGCAGTCACCTTTACCAAGCGGCCCCTTGGGGCTCTTTGGCGGCACTTGCTGAAGGATTCAAAGTAGGGTGTGGGTATTTGGTCGAGGTCAGCTAGAAGCTCAGAAGCTACATACTTCTTGGCTTGGGTGTGAAGTATCACATTCATCTCGCGGGCGAGGGCGTCAGGTGGTCAGAAACGTGTCTGTGTCTTTGTCGCCAGAGCTTGATGTTTGTCTTTGCAGTGCTGATGGAGCAGAGCATCTGTGCGTGGCACTCGCATCAAACCCCGGTGAAGCCGGTTTTCGCGTCGAGCTGAACTGTGCCGACACCCGCACAGGGCCCCAAGACTCCTGAGACATAATTCTTCGATTGGAGGGAGGCCTCAGCCCTGAGTGTGCCAGGTGTCCTGCAGCATGGACTCGATGCCAATCGTGGTGGGCGAGAAGCCTGTGCTTTGGCCAAGCAGTTCAGAGTATGTGCATTGAGAGTGAAGGGTTTCAGGGCAGACGAGGCGTGACGAAGGGTTGAAGATGAGGCTTGGGTCTAGAGTCAGATGTGCACCTTCGAGTTCTGGGCGTCGTGCAAAAGCAAAAAAACAGAGTCTTCCTCTGCCCAGGGTTTCTGAAGAAGTGATAACTCTCCGATAGGCTTCCTTGTCGGCTTTTCCTGGTGGCACGATCAGCATCCGAGCACAACGAATCTACAGGCCCGATCCACTAGACCCTTCTGCCGAAACCGGAGCAGTTCTTATAGGTCGGCGAGGCAGCGGAAGCTGGGATCGCGGAGGGCTGGATACTTTGCCAGGCCAGGCAGGGTTTGGCTTGCAGGTCCGAAGTTCTTCTGTGCAGTGTGGTGTCCGGTGGATTGATGCCTTTCTACGTTTGTGCGTCCGGGTGCTTGGTTGCCCAGCGTTGCGCAGCCTCGAGACCAAGGAAGGTGCTTGCTGACAAAACGCATGATTCCGTGCCCAGTGCATGCGAGATGGCCCCCGTCGAATTCTTGAATTATATGCACTTGCGTGCATATGTAAATAGACATGTAGATTTAGATGGTGTGTTGGATTGCCCGACCAGTAACTGTCAGAAGAGTGCACCATCCCGAGACAAAACGCAAATGTCCGGTAGTAGTTTTAGGAGGTTAAGTCTTCTAAGAGTTGCAACTGGTCACTGGTCGTGGTAAACTTAGCAAAGCCTGTAGCTCCTAGCCCGAAGCGGTCTTTCGAGTTCAGGGGCATCAGCTCCGACCCGAGAACCTTCTTTTCTGACGTCAATTCCTGAGCCCATAAGCCCAAGACGTCACGTCGTTTTCATCCCGCACGCATGAAGTTCAAGCCTCATAGTCTGCGGTTCTTACAACTGAGGCCACCCTTCACCCGACACAATAAGTGACGTTCATCTGAGGACGACTGTCCCAAAATGGTGAAGTTCCGGTCAGTTCACTGGACCTTAAGCCGTTCCCGTCCTGCCATCTCCTGCCCTCGAAGGTGGGCACGGACCCATCGAACATGCGGACCGCAGGGCCGCACTTGGCTTCTTCCTGTTGTTTCGGGTTGCAATTGCTGCAGAAAGCACCTAGGTGCCGGATCTAGACATTGCGAAGTTCGCATTGTTTGCCCTTTGGGGCTTCGGGTTCATGCACACAGGAGATAGAGGAACTTGGAAACTCCACAGTCACAGCAGCTCCAATGTTTGAGTATGCTTGTCCCTCAAACCAAACCCCAAAACAAGCGATGTCAAGCTCACCAATTCTCAACTCCCAAGCCGGTCATACCAAGGAACTTCCCGCAGTCGGCAAACGAACCCTACGCAGAGATTCAGGATGTCTGAGTGTCTTCGTTTAAAGCGATTTAGATCTTGCGGGTTTGGAAAGAGTACTCTGAAGTTGTCTTTACTGGCGTATATAGTTTTCACTGATTTGGTTTGGCGGCGCTGTGGCATTGGGGTGTCATCCTCGCCTGAACCTGGAGGATTTCTGTGTGCCCCACGTGACATGCATTCTCCTTCAAGCAGAGGCACTGTGTGAAAGGATCCTGGTCTTCGGTAGCGCGCAGATAGATGGAACGTTGTCCGGATTGAAAAAGCCGTATGAAGGATTGCAGTTTTTTTGGGTAAGCTCCACCCTTACAGTATGCTTTGGATCTCCGCATCTCGAAGCCGAAGCCTAAACTAAACAATGCCTAAACACCTACAACTGCAGACCTTGCCAGGATTGTCCGAGTGCGAGTGTAAAACCGCAAAACTCCCCGTGGAAGGAACCGCAACCATCAGCCTTGAACTTGACAGAACGTGGTGCTTCTTGGGACACTGCGGAGCTGCTTTCTTGTCTGGAGGGCGCCGGCCCTTCGCGTCATCATTGTCATAGTGCTCTCAGCGGTCGGTTCTATCCCCGATCCCCGAGCTCGGCAATCCCAAAATCCCTTGAACCCCTTGCCTTGTCACTTCCTAAGCCCCGAGCATCGGAAGCCCGAAGCCACAGACGACCTAAACCCTGGAAGCTCAAGCCACGCAAGCCAGGAGACCTTCCGATACCTGGGCCAGCTTACCAAGGCCCTGCCCCAGGCCGCTCGGGCAGAGGGTTGAGGCTGAGACTTTGTAGCTTCAGCGATGTTTCGAGCAGAGGCTTTTCAACGAAGAGCTTAAGGTGGTGACCTGTTGTGTTGAAGGGGGCAGGTTTTGGGGGTGTTGCTCGTTGCTGCAGGCATAGTACTGAGCTGAACTTCCCATGAACCAAGGCCGGGTTCTGGGGTTACGGTAAGCCAGAGGCGAGTCAGGGAGGTTGTAGGTTGTGAGAGCCTGGAATTGAATATTGGAGCCTTTTGGGCACCAGAGTTGGGCAAGACCTCTTTCCAAAGCTCGCGGATTTAGAGCTGAGGGGTTCAGGGGCTTCGCATGTGCTGGGCAAAACGGTCAGAAACCCTGAAAGGCAGGAACTCTGGCTGCCCTGATCCCAGGCAGCTTGAGCTTGGCACTGTCTCCAAGGAGGCGATGCAATGTGATACGATGATCGTGGTTCTCATAGCTCCAGGTAAGTATGACTTCGTTGATTGTCTGTACTAGGCTGTTGATTTGGGTTATGCTGTAGTTTTAGGACATGCATTCCAGATAAGTTCGACTGCTGCAGGACGGTTGCACTGAACATGGGGATGGCAGTGGCTTCATGTGTTCCCTTTCCAGGTCGCATGCCAGGGATGCTCGGATGCCCCGCACGGCAAAGCCGATTTGGATTTCACCCCTTTTTCCAAATGCCACAACATGTAGTGTGACCAGAAATCTTGCAAGTGTGCATGCGCATATGTATGCAACTGTGTTCAGGTGAGTATGTATGCCTGCATGAGGGGATTCCTGTAGGTTTATCTATAGCACCAACACAAGATGCATATGCATACATAGAGTTTGTAAATGTATAAAACCGTATATATACATATATACACATATAGATAGATGTCTGTATGTGCACCTTTTCCTGTAGCAATACAATTCGATCTTGCCGAGTTCCCTAGAAGTGGGGCTCTGTGAGGACTTTCCCAGCTGGGGGATCGCTCCTGAGGAGTGGAAAACCCATGTTACAGTTCTAGTTGCAGCTGCGTGCTGCGTGGAAGTCGCTTGTCGGCATGCGGTCTGCTGTGCTGGTGGAACTGCAGGAGCCGCTGAGCTTTTGCAGCACGTAGCGAATTAGGCTCTGAGGCCTAAAGCAGCCCAGAGCACCCTTTGCCGCAAGGGTGGCAGCCTAGTGCAGAAAATCGTGGTGCTGTGCCAGGCAGCGGCTGTCACGATTGGAACGCCTCATTTGCCGATGCTTCCTGACGTCCCGCCCGTACAGTTCTTGTCAGGCTCAAGTGCAGACAGGAAGGAAGCGGGGCCTTTTTGTGTAGTTGGGCAAAGTCCCATGATCAGAACGAACCATGGCCCAGTCGGGCTGCGACAACCGCGGAATCCTGAGAAGATCACGCCAGCTGTTGGGGACAAGAAGGACACCACGATCATCAAGAACTGGCTAGATCCCAAGAAGAACAAGGGAAAGGACAAGGATGGCAAGGGCGATATGTATCGCACACTCATCAAGCAGACGATGTTACTTGCGGCGGCCAAGATGGAGATCGATGATATCGCCTATGGCAGCCCCAACGTCGCCATTGATGAAAAGACTGGCCTCCACAGGCCCTGTCTAAGATTGGGATTGCTTCGTCTCTTCACCAGTAGCCACAACAAAGATGCTTTTTGATAGTGTGTTTCGTCCCTTTGCCTCTCTTTGCAGATCATCCCTTCCTCACTCATTCGCCGCCGGAGGTCACCCGAAGAAATGCAGGAGCGGGATGCCCTCGCCCGGGTGAAGATCAAGACTATGCAGGATGGCACGGCCCCCATCCCAGATGGCAGGCATGTGGGTACCGGAAAGCTCAAGAAGACCAGCAGAGCCCTAACGCGGCATACGCTCGTCAAGAGAAGCAAGTACCCCTGGGGCTGGTATAAGTACCGCTACTGGACCCTCCAGTCTGGAAGGATGACAGTCTACAGATCCAACAAAGCCGAGTATGCAGGAGAGAGGCACACCATCTACGACATCCGAGAGGCCACGTGCCAGTTTGAGACCAAAGGCATGGTGGGCCTAGGTGCAGAGCCTTTTCTTCCTCGTCACGAAGCCCGGGTGCGGCTACAGCTCAAGGAGCGTGCCTGGGGTCCGGTCTTCCTCTACTCGCAGGATGTGTCTCAGGTAAAGAGCTGGGAGCGGGCGATCAAGATGTCCAAGTACCTGCTCAATGCCACGGACCGCGAGGCCATGGCCTTTGTGATCGGCAGGGTCGCAGGTTCTATGATGGCCAAGGGCTGGAATGCTCTCTTCCAGTACCACAGGGAGTTGGAGAACACACGCCGGTTAATTCGTGGCCTGGCCATGCGGCTCACGAAGTGCCTGGGCTTAATCAACCATCCTCTTGAAGAGTCATTCAGCCCCAAGTCACCCACCTCCTAGACCTGGAAGCCATAATGTGAAGACATTTGAGGTGTCCAGTGGGCATGGCAGTTTAGCCCCTCCGCAATCCCGAGTCGTAACTTCCTGTCAGCCTGAGAAGCCGAACGAGCAAAGATACCGTTCGACAGAACCTAGTGCGTATTGTGATGGCATCTGTTCTGCATGTCGTTTTTGCCTTTGAATGTTGTGTCGTAGTTCAGAAGCAGATCTTAGCCTATGCGCTTACTAGATGGATCGAATGTACCTCTGTTAGTGCCACAATCGGCAAAAGTGTGAGTGTACAGTGCACACTGTTTTTATAGCTGAAACATAAGTCGAAACAATGGAGTACGTTTGGGCTGTCGCTCTTAGGAGCCACACGACGGGTTTGTTGAATTCGTGAAGTTGGTAAGTGCACTGCTTATGGATAGAATGCCGAAGAGAGTCTGCATCCTTCGACCCAGGTTGGACCTCAGTCGAGCCTGGAACAAGGCACGCCTGGTGTATCTGCAGATGCCGGGACAGCAGTCATGGGAGGAAAGGGTTCGGAAGCGGGTGTTGTTTCGCTTATTCCTCTCTCTGTCTCTCTCGCCCTCCCCGCGTGTAGCAGTTGTAGTAGGTGTAGCATGTGTAGATGGTGTAGTGGGTGTAGCAGGTGTAGTAGCTGCAGTAGGTGCAGTGTAGTGGGTGTAGTAGGTGTAGTAGGTGTGGTAGGTGTAGTAGGTGTAGTAGTAGTCGTCGTCTTGGTGGTTGTGGTGGTGGTGGTGGTGGTGAAGAACAAGAAGAGCAAGAAGGGTGGCCTTGAAGAAGCGGCAGCACTTCCGCGAAGTAGCAGTCATGACGGAGATTGCGGCGGTGCGAGCGACGAAGCATGAGTCCAGGTGGGGAAGCGGGGGCAGGAGGCAGAGGAGTCCTGAAAAGTGCAATCAAAGACCATAGCTGATGATCTTAGTAGGTTTGCCGGGCTGGGCGACGGATGTCAGTCAGACTGTTGCGTCAGAACAGCATCGCTAATGACAGAGTTTTCAACCATGAGTCCTCTTGAACATCCGAGGAAGAGCCACGATCAGAAGCTGCGGAAGGAACAGCAGGACTGGGCTGCCAGGCCTTGTGGCCTCGAAAGCAGGGCTTAGGCTTAACGTGTTTCAAGGAACCACGAGGGAATGACGGGCATTCAGTTTTCAGGTGTTGAAAGCCAGTTCTCCATTAGTTTCTTGAGTAGGGTATGGAAGTGCAGTCAGGAGTGCTGACCTTCCGTCCATGCTTTCAGGCGATTGCACAAGTCCTGATGCAAAAAAAGGGCATTCCTTCTCAGCCGCCCCAGTCGATAGCTCTGTACGGCTTGAGGGAATGAATTCGAGATTCCCGAACGAATCTTGAAGTCTCGATCGAGATTTTGATCGCAGGGCTATTGGAAGTCACAGTTGTCAAGAAATTCCGTTAAACATGCACGCAAGATGAACAGCCTAGAGACAACCCCGTGCTTCTCAGGTTCTTGAGGGACAAGATGGACAGGATCAACCAGCAGGCCGCCCGCTCCCCCGCCATGGTGCGTCTGGCTGCAATCAACAAGGCGTGGTGGAGGGTGTGCCAGGGTTCCGGGCTGTGCAGCGTTGAATTTGGACCCCTCGGCCCTCGAGGTGCAGACGCGGTTCCGGCATTTCCGCCAAGACCACATCTTTGACCGCTCCTATGCCTTGGGCACGAACGTGAACACACGCGTGCAGCAGATGATGAAGGGAGTGATCATGATGGGATCCTTTACGTCACTCACCGCGCAGGAGGTCCTAAAGTTGACTTTGCCGGCAGAAGGCATGGAGGCCTTGGACGATTATTCGAAGTCTGCGACGTACTCTGAAGTGAATGTGAACTTGCAGAAGATGGCATTCCACATCTCCGAGAATTTCACCATGTTGTCGTTCTCGGAAGCCGGGGCCGATGCCTCCGTCCTGGACCACGCCAGTTGGGGGCATTTCGTGAACCTGAGCCAGATCAGCTCGATTGTCGTGCATTCTGAGCGGACTTTGGCCAAGAGCCGTCAGGGCGATATCTTGCCTCCCTCCAGCTGCACAGGAGTTTGGTTCACAGTGCATGGGCCCAGAGTCGGCTGGGGTCGCGCACTCCGGAGCTTCACAGACCCAGAGACACAGAAGCCGTTCCAGCAAGTGGTGGGCTCCGGCGATGGCAACGGCCTGGGAGCCGCTTTGGCCGACGGCGAGACTTTGCAGTGGTTCCGTTTGGAGCTTGGCTTCCGTTCCGCCGATGTCTTGGACTTGAGGAAAGAGCTCCCAGAAGAGGGCCAAGTTGAAGTCTTTGGTGATGAGGAGGTGGACTCCTTGCCCAGGTCGAACTTCCAGACCTACGTGGACTTGACCATGCTGGGCCGGCGCTTCCGGAGCACGAAGGCCACTGGAAGCAATCCCAGATATCAGGGCCCGTATTCGGGAAAGTTCATCGCGGAGGTGCCCATTCCACCAGGCGACGGTGGCTTGGCCTTCCTGGACACCTCAGAGGTCGGCATTGATGTGGTGGAATGCGACCCCGAGAATCCGGAGAACAACCGCACCATCTGGGCTGCAAAGATGCCCCTCTGGAAGCTTTTCACCGCGGAAGAAGACCTTCCGAAACCCATGGAACCACCACCCACGGCTACGGCCCTGACAACGCTGGGCATCGGAGAGGGGGCTCTCACGACCCTGGGCCTCATGGAGGAAGCACAGGAGCAAATCCAGAGTATGACCAGGTCTCTCCGGAGCGGAACGCTGAAAAGTACTCGGAGGATGTGGCTCCAGCACCCCACCGTGAACCTTTCTGACATCTTGCCCCTCAAAGCCCATGTGGACTTGGACATTTTTGCAAAGCTGAGCCCGAACTCCCTGCTTACGAAGACGCCGGTTTCTCCGGAGCTGCAAGGACGGGGGTCCAGCTCCTGCCTCTTCACCTCAAACAAGGCTGCCTGGGTGGACCCCAGCCAGAGGAGCATGAGTGTGGCAAACATGGTTGAGCTGAACATTCGAGAGATTGTTTTCCCAACAGATGATGTGCCAGAGGAGACTAGGCTCTACAAGTACCATGTTGAGGCCAGATGTAATGGCGTCAGAGCAGCTACAAAGGCCTTGTGCCGGCCCAAAAAGACTTGGAAAGCCATCATCCCTTTGGACACTTCCAAGATCGATTTCAAGGGCAGCACGGTCTTCGTCCCTCTGCCCCCAGGGTGTTGGAGCAGCGCTGAGACGATCAAGGTGCGGGTGCAGGTCATGCGCACGCTCGTGAACGAGGTCCAGGCGGTGAACTTCAATGAGCTCCTTGCGAGGAATGGCAGATCGGGCCCGTACACCCCCACATCAGAAGTGGTCTACCACGCGGATCTGTTTCTTGTTCGTGATAGAAACCTCTGGCGTCTAAGCTGTATGCTCTGAAACGCATTTTTCTAAAGCCTTAGAGAGAATCTTCGGACAAGTTGCCTGCTGCTCAGGTTTGTTGACGGCATGAGCCTGGACTTCTCGAGGCAGGCTGCAGGAGTTCCGTTTGCCAGGGCAACGGCAGCTCCAACGTACTATGGCGTCGCAAAGGATGAGCTGAGTCCAGTCGAGACACCAGCCCTGGTGGTCATGGACATTGCGCTCCGGGACCGCGACTATGCGCGGCTTCACACCGCACAGGACAGCCTCCGAGCAGGCATGCTGTGCGTTGGAGACAAGGCCATGCTGAAGGTGGAGGAGCCTATCCGGTACCCCAACAGCGAGGTGGAGTACCGAAACTTCTTGAACAATTCGGCACCTGGCCAGCCTCCGGGCAGGGATGGAAGTTCAGGGTCGATGCTTCGGACCGTTCGATGTCCGTGCCAAAGTCTCGAGCGAAATCCAGTTTCGAAGGCAAAAAACATGATCCGAATGCCTTAGTCCTGAAGTGAAGACTCGCCCAAGGTTCGATCCTACGCGCATCCCACGTGGTCCCAGTGTGGTGGCTTGGGAGGCCTTGGGGTTGGAGAGCCCTGGGATCCAGATGTGCGATTGTTGCTGCGGGTCTCAGTATGGAAGTACAAAAGATGAATGTTGTCCCGTTGATCCCTGAACTCGTCATCGAACGGAAACACAACCTGGCCATTTATGAAAGCGCAAGACTGTCATGTTAATCCTGGGAAGCATCATCTGATGAGAACAAGAACCTACGGCTTGATGGCCGGTGCTTCTAAGCTCGTACTTGGAGTCTGGGTAACTTTCCGTCTTCACACATCTATCAGTTCTCGCCACGATGACTTCGCCACTCTCGTGCTTTCGGAACGCTTGGACATCCGTTTTTTGAGCTTCGAGGCTCCCTTGCGCGATCCATGCGCTACGTTCGAGTACAAGGCTTTGGGGCGTGGAGTTTGAGTTTTAAGGTTTAGCAGATTCGCTCGGCTTCTAGCGTGGAACAGAGAGCATGAGAGAGAAAGAGACTGACAGGTTGAGGATTGGCTTTGCCTTCTAGTGTTGGACGCTTGCGTCCAAGCCGTGTCTGCATTGTTCCCAGGATAAGGATGCTCATGATAGAATCGACGATGACGGCAAAGGTTGTGATCATGAACGAAGAGTTTCCCAGTATGCGATATACCTAAACAAGTGACCGAAAACCAGGGGCAAAAGTGTATATAGTTTCTTGGTAACCCTGAGCATCTGCCGAGCTTCGCATCTAGCCCCACGCATGTACAGACAGAGTCATACAACTATACATGCAGCAACTGAGAAATGTGTACGGCCCACCCAGGCGAGCTCGAATGAGGCCCATCAAGTTATTGGATCGGTGAAACTACCAGTAGTCCGCGAGCATTTGATAGGGTGCTCGCTGCTCGTTATCTCATGTATGTGCGCGTAGGTCCGATCGTATTTGTGCTTGTGCTCTCGCGTTGCAGTGTGAGGCTTGTCATGTTATGCTGTTATTTTGGGTTCGGCATCGCGACGTGAATCTGAGCGCGACTTGGTTTTTCGGGCCAGGGTCAAGAGCAATTAGTTTACGACAGAATTCACGGCGTCAATCACGGCATCAACATCCGCTTTACCAAGTGTCGGCCATACGCGGCATGAAGCCGCATCAACCGAACTTTCGACCTAGCTACTGAATCGCTGGGAGAGGACTTGGACATACTTTCCCCAAGCAGTGTTTGCAGGATTGAAGCCCTCAACCACAAATGAAAATGCACAGCGAGAGACTAAAGTTGTTGAGTTTGTCAGCTCAGAGTTTAGGCAACTAGGGTTGATGCAGACAGGGTAGTGCTGTGAGTCTTCCTGCCTTTGCAATTGGCCATCACCGTTGTGTGTGAGAAGGTGGATGCTCACATGGAACATGAGTGCCGTGAAGCCATGAACCCCAAAACCTTGCGAGAGTGTAAACGAAACCCCGCACATCTGCAACAAGTCATGGGGGGAAGAAAAACATTGACAAACCCTTCAAGGCCAGTGGATTGGACAAGCTGGATCCTCCAGAGCCTTTCAAGCAGCGCTACATGCCCAACGCGAGCGGCGAGGTGATTCCACACAAGTCCCGACCTTGGAAGGAACTCATCTGCTTCCACCACTCTAGAACCTTCAAACTCCTTAATTGCAGTAGCCTCAGCTTACGATGTCAGTGAGATGATTTCCCCATTGGGCTGTTTCAATGAATGCATATTACTGTGCTTTTAAGCTCGCCTTACCATGGCCTGGCACAAAAGGCGCTGAGCTTGGCAGTAAGGTCGCAAGAATGAACTGGCCTTATCATGACAGTTGAACCCTAAAGTCGGCAGCATCTTGTCCCTCCTACAGTCCTGAGGCCAGAAGCCCTAAAACCCTAAGCCCGAAACCAAAAAGCCGGCAGTCCGAAACCGTAAAGCCGTGAGGCCCGAAGCCCTGCCTGCCAAAGTTTTAAACTAGAACCCTAACAAGCTTGTCTTTGGTAGAGTCGTCTTTACGGTGCTGCTGCCCGACAAGGCTGATCTAGGGCTTAACCGTGAGCATGGTAAAGGTTAGACGTGGTAACAGAAGGAGTTGCTATGGCGATATAGTATCAGTCATAGGCCACGTAGTTGCGGAACGACCAACGTCGCATCAACAGGAGCAAGCTTGGCAGCACTAGGACAAGTGATGATGATACTGATGATGATGGTGGCGATGATGATGATGGTGATGAACATGATGATTTCCAGGTTCGTGCTGCCAAAGGATGAGGCCGAGTTTCAGAGTGGGCTGAAACCAGGCGCGGACGGCTGCTACACTTTCATTCACTTGTCTAGTAGTAGTAGTGGTCGTCGTCGCCGTCGTAGTGTCGTAGTGGTAGTGGTAGTGGAAATGGTAGTGGCAGTGGCAGTGGCAGTGGCAGTGGTAGTGGCAGTGGTCATGGTGGTGTTGGTGGTGGTGGTGGTGGTAGCAGCAGTAGGAGCAGCAGTCGCAGTCGCAGTCGCAGTCGCAGCAGCAGCACGAGGAGGTGGAGGAGGCGGGGAGGAGGCGGAGGAGGAGGAGGAGGAGGAGGAGGAGGAAGGAGGAAGGAGGAAGGAGGAAGGAGGAAGGAGGAAGGAGGAAGGAGGAGGAGGAGGACGAGGAGGAGGAGGAGGAGCACTAGCAGCAGCAGAAGCAGCAGCAGCAGCAGCAGGAGCGGCAGCAGCAGTAGCAGCGGCAGTCGCAGTCGCAGTGCCAGTGGTAGTGGCAGGCGTTGGAGGTGTAGCAGAGCAGTGAGGAAACGGAGCACCATTGATCTCAATGAGAGTTTGACCGTCCTCAGGCTCCTTCTGGAGGATCATGGAGTACCTGGCCGGCCTGAAAGTCAATGCGGTGAAAACGATGCCAAACGGAGATGAAGAGTATGAGCCTCAAATCATCAAGATGCTGACGCACGTGGTCCGCTCCATCCCTACCACGGTGTTGGCTGTGTACCCGGACCAAACCTGTGATGTCGAGTTGGCTCCGAACTTCGTGCAAATGTGGGAGGCGGCCCCCTACAAGGCCTTCGGGATCCTTGGTGCTGCCGTCATCGGCGATCACACGGACATCTCGGATGCCGCCATTCGCAATGCGCCGGTCGGTGCTGGGGATGTGGGGGAGAGGGTTCGGAGGCGCATCCTGTTGAAAGGGCTGCCGATCAGTAGCCTGAGCAGTGTACAGTCGGCGAGCTTCAATGTCTACGATGCTGCCATCACCACAACGGATGAAATCGTCCACATCCACCCGCACAAGGTGGGCAACGATTACAACCCGCGTCTGATTGATGGAGCCGTGGATGACATGCAGATGCTCAGTGGACACCGTGGAAGCTACCGCGTTGTAGCAGGACCTTTGCCAGTGGATGCCAACCCAGCAGACTGCCAGTACGAGTGGTCGCTTTCCCTGAACGCCAAGGACGAGGCGGACATGTACCACTTCATCACAGTGCTGAGGCAGGCTGCCCGCATGGACATTGCGGAGCAGGTGAAAAAGCTGCAGGAGTTCAAGAAGAAGAGCGCCTTTGCCCTGAACAACCGGCCCTACCTGGACTCCCAGATCTATTCCACACAGAGCGGGCACCTGGAAGTGATTTTGGTAGAGGCCCGGCACCTCCGGCCAACTCGCGTGCAGCAGGAACAGGACTGGCAGGCTTCGGTGCAAAAGAGCTTGCAGCTTGAGCTGCAGACTGAGGCAGGCTTCTCCTTGCTGAACAGCGAGGATGGGAAGAGGAAGGAGTTGATCTACAAAGGCTCCAAAATCCAGATGTCCCCACCGCTGTCGGGAAGCAACCCCAGCTGGGGTGAGCATCCGGAGCTTCAGGCATCTGGAGGCTGGGTCTTCAAGAGCCCTCTTCTGGAAGCTCGAAGCATGCCAAACCTTTACTTCGAGATCGATCTCACATCCCGAACGCTGCAGCAGATCGGCCAGACCGAGAAGCTGGGCATGGTTCGCATGGCCGTTTTCGGGGCCCACTTCAGGCCAGAGTTCCTCGGAGGCGCGCCGACACTGGACCTCAGCGATCCAAAGAAGCCCTTCAACAACCTCTGGATCCCGCTATCCAAGAGCGACAAAGGGCTTCTGGAGCCAAAGCCTTACGGAGAGCTTCACATCATGACACTCTGGAGGCCGTCCTCCCCGTCGGAAAACGTAAAGGAGGTTATTCTGATTCCCATTGACGATGACGATGATGATGCTGCTGCGGCTGCTGTTGATGATGATCATAATGATGTTGATACTGTTGATGATATGGTAATGATGATGGTTATAATGAGGATTGTTATGATGGTGAAGTCGTGAGGGTGACAGTAGCAAGAACAGCGAGTGCAAATATGAATGAGAGACAGGAGGTGTCTTACTAGCCACAACGATTTGAGGAAAAACGACCAGAGAAATACGCGCGAGCAGCCAACCAGTGTAAAAACAGTAGCAGGTGACACCCTATCAGAAGTGTGATTGCATCAGTAGCAATCGCATCATATTGGCAACCATCCCAAGGCTTCAATTCTAGGGGCTATGGAAGGCATGGACGTCAACTTCAAGCGCGAAATATCAAGTTCGTGCCAATTTCTTACTGCTTCTACTAGGACAGAAGTCGTAGTACCAGGAGTCGGCGTAGCAGCAGGAGCAGTAGTCGTCGTGGTGGTGGTAGTAAGACCACTACGACGTAGCCACACAGTATCACCGTCGTAGATGAAAGTATGGACAGTTAACGCACCAAAAGATGTAGCACTGCTGTTGCATGGTGATTCACTGGAGGCCTTCGCAGGAGACGGCCATCACACGAAGGTTGCCGAAGAAGGTGCAAGTGTGGCAGAGCTATGAACTGAAGCAGGCAATGAAGACGCTTGGGCTTATGATAAAAGCTACTGCATCGATTTCCATATTCAAGATACAGTAGTTGTTTTTTAGACAAACAGCCGCCAAGGAACAACTCCATGCACGATCCCATCTACGAAGTCCAGGCCTTACAAAGCGGCTACGATCCGAACCTCTACGCGATCAAGGGCGAGCAACCGGCATCCCAGAGCCAAGCAAACCTCAGCCACATGCAGAAGATGCCACTCGACCTGAAATTCTGAGCGAAGATTTCAGCTTGAGCTTCTGAAACCGTTCCAAGAAGGCTTGAAATCCTGAGAGTCCCACCGCCGTCCATTGAGCGCCTGAGGCCATCTTCTGCTCTTTTAGGCTTCAGGGCACGCTACACCATGTCGAGTATGTGTAGTGGATACTGCCGTTCTATTGCTCGAAATGTTCGTAGTTGCCGCAGAGCATGTAGTCTGAGTGCCGTTGCGAGCAGTGCGACGTGCGTGCAATCGGAATCCCAACTTACGTGTTTGTAGCAATCCGCATCCTCATGTACTTGAATTCCTGTCGTGTCGTACTTACAGCACCATGGGGTAATGTTGGGACGGCTAGACAAGGTTTGAGAGCGTCCCCTACTTGGACTGCTGCGAGCGCCAGCAGAGGGCTGCCTGGCGGGACTACCGGCAGAAACTCATGAAGCTGGAGGCGCTTGCGACTTGGGGTGCTGCTTGTACCCTCGGGGTTTTTAACCCAAGGTTTTGCAGGTGGCGATGGTTTCGTAGGCTCTTTCTTCAGGCTGCCAGTTTTTCGAGATCCCGCAAATCATGAATGTACGTAGTCCCTACAAGGCCGGCCTGTTGAAACTTGTGAAGGTCTTGAAGTGCTTCGGCATTCAGCAACAGGGTTTGGGAGACGCTGCAGTCGCGCAGGCCGAGCAGGGAAGAGGACCTGTCTCTTTGAGCACGTGGCGCGAGAAGTGGGTTGCGCACCCCGGATAAGAGCGTCGAGTTTAGAGGTACCAGCAGTTCAAGCAGTAGTAGTAGTCGTGGCAGTAGTAGTAGTAGTAGCAGTAGTAGTAGCAGTGGCAGTAGTAGTAGCAGTAGGAGTAGGAGAGTAGGAGAGTAGGAGAGTAGGAGAGTAGGAGAGTAGGAGAGTAGGAGAGTAGGAGAGTAGGAGAGTAGGAGAGTAGGAGAGTAGGAGAGGAGCAGGAGCAGGAAACGGGAGTAGTAGGAGTAGCAGGGGGAGTGGGGCAGTTGGAGTTGGAGTCGCAGTCAGTGCTGGTGGTGGGAGTAGCACTACCAGCAGCAGCAACAGTGGCAGTGGCAGAAGCTTGTGTTGTAGTCGTAGCATAGTGGCAGTACTATGTAGTGGTAGTAGTAGTGGCGGTAGTGGTTGTAGGAGTGGTGGTCGTCGTCGTCGTCGGAAACTGCGCGTGTTTTTGGGATGCTTTGTCGAAATTTGATGACTGTATTTAGTGAGTGCATTGGAAGATATAGGTGTCCCCGTTAAAAGATCTGGAGCTTGTTAATTCTGTGCATGCATACAGAGATACCGGTTTAGTTTAGGGCCAGTTGGGGTTGGGAACACAGGCCTGCTAAAGCTCGAGCTTGTTGGCTGATCCGGCCAATCGTGTCGGTCAAGATCTTCAGGAGTAAAGACAAGAAAGGTATGCATCCCCTCGGCGGACTCTTCTGTCAGAATAATGATGAGCTGTGTACTTCATCCAGAATGCCATGCAGTCCCCGTGTCGTTCTTCGCACTGCAACGGCGTGAAACTCTCAAAGGGATCGTCTGGGCTGTGAGAGTCTAGCACTTGAGCCCCAAACCCTGAACTGGATGTGGCTAAGGGACGCTCAAGGCGCCACAGAACTCTGGAAGTGACCCGGCTAATGGGGGTGCGAAATTTTCAGGCGGCATTTAGAGTTTGATCCGGTTATCAACAGAGACCTGGGTGCAAGCAGGGTTTATGGCTTTAGGGTCCTCGGGGGACCGGCTGCAAAAAGGTTATCGGTATAAGCGGTTCAGGGTGCGGGCCGAGTGGTGCGGGCCGAGTGTTTGCGCATTGGAGTTAGGGCTCTTCGGCGGAATAGGGAGCCCCTGCGTCATGGAAGCAATGCTTGCTTCGGGTCCGGAGGGTGCTGCCTGCGAGAGATGACAAGCCTCGGAACATGTGTCAATAATGGGCGGGCGGCGTCGTAGGATTTCTCGATTCTAGCCAACGATTCTAGAGGTGGGTTTCCGTCAGTCGTGAGTGAAGCAGCGGCCGCTTCCGAGTTTTGGGTTGACACCCCCCAAACCCAAATCCAGGTCGCCACCGAAGCCTTCAAAACATTCCATCCCGTTGCAGGTTGGACGAGATGCTCCGCCGTGGTGTGCCTGCCGGCATCCGGAACCATGTGTGGCCGGAGATCACCAAGGCGCACGCCCTGCAATCGGAGTTCCTCGACGCGTTTGCCCCGTTGCCACAGAGAAGCGACGGAGATGACGCCTGGATGTTCTTGGAAAGCTGCAGTCTATTTGGCTACCAACTACTACTTCTAAAAACCACTGCTCATGTCTTCTCATGCTCCCAGACTTCCAGACTTCGGTTCAAATTCAAACGGTCGCACAAGTCTGGGGGGATCTTTGGGGCTCACGTCTGAGGATCCCGCATCGGCTCCTCTGAGACACAAGCTTCTTGAAGAGAAGTTCCTCCTCTCGGATGTGGAGAAGTCTTACGTGAAGGAGGTGAAAGGATCCGCCGCCGACCGGAATCTGACATCTCTGTTAGTAGCAATTTTCTTTGAGTGGTTTTGGGTCAGTTTTTCAGCATCCTGCCGAAGGCGAACACCCTAAAGCCTCAGAAACCAAAGCGTTGACGTCTTGATTTCTTGAGCACTCGTGGAGGTTTACAGGTACAGGTATCGCTATGTCGGGTCTTCGGTCCAAGAGATAACGTATTGGAGATGAGCTGTCTCCACGGTCTTTCCTGTCGGTTCCGAGTGAAACGAGAAGCATAAACTCCCGACATCAAATCCCACCTGAAAACTCAGGAATGCTGTCTACCAGAGGGCCGTCTACAGACGGTGCCTTTGGTCGAAAACACAGCTGAAGGGTTCTTGAGCTTTTGCTACTGCACGAATGTTCCGAGATATATACCAGTAGGAGTTTGACCCTGCGCCCAAGCCCTGAAGCGCGGACTGAAGAGAGAGGCGCCTCAGAGACCTGAGATTGATGCCTCCTGAAAGCATTGCAACGCCGAGATTCCAAGATCGCGTCAACCAAGAACCTGACGAACCGCTTCTGTGAGCCACAACCCCTTCAGAATTGAAACTAGGGATTTCCTGATTTTGAGCTCCGGGTGGAGGCTGCTGGAGATCGGTCGACCTTACCGAAACGATGCCATGGGTCAGCTCCACGAGGAGCCGCCGGAGTGTTTAGATTTGCATGCGAAGCCTGTTGAGCCGGGCGACAAGCCATAGCACTGATTCATGTTCCGAATCCGACACGTGTCATTGCAAACCAAAGCTAGCAGCTATGTGAGGACCTTGTTGGTGCCGCCTCCTGGGAGAAGCGGCTTGCATGAACCCATCTAACCTCAAAGCCCAAAGCCTCGCGTGGAATTTAGGGCATCCCATATGGTGGGGGCCTGGGCCTCGCGGGGTTGGATGGACGGAGCAGCAAAATCAAGAACAGGAATGCAATGTCTTGCAAGATACGGTTGCCAATACTACTATTGATTCGACGACGACGACGTACGCTTGTCCTCCAAGTACTCCTGCTGCTAGCTCTGCTGCTATTGCTGCAGCTATCGCCAATACAGCTGCTCCCGCTTCTGCTGCAGCCGCTGGATGTACGGCTACTACGACGCGCTACTTGGAGTGCTCCTCTACCATTACCACTACTGCTACTGCTACTACTACTGCTACTGCTACTGCTACTGCTACTGCTACTGCTACTGCTGCTACTACTACTACCACTACTACTACTACTACTACTGCTACTACTACTACTACTACTACTACTACCGAGCTGGCTGAGCCGTGCTGGGTGACTACTACCACTCCTAGTATTACTACGACTACGACTACGACTCCTACTCCACTCCTACTGCTACTACAACTACTGCTGCTGCTGCTGCTGCTACTGCTGTTCTTTACTCCTTCAGATGACGACGGCGATGGCTACTACCACTTGAACTATCTGTACCCGCTGCTATAACGACGACGACTTGGCACGAAGCCACAACGACAATGACGAAGACCTGACTATGACTCTGCTTACGGCTGCGACCACGGCGTGTGCTGCCGTTACTACGGCGACGACAGCCGCGATAAGTTGTGACAGTTCTGCTAGTCTTCCTCTCGTTCTCTCTCTCTCTCTCCCTCTCTCTGCTGCTGCTGTTCCCCGAACTGGTGCTACAAACAAGTGCGGCCCGGTACGGCCACTGCTTGGAGTGCTGTCTGGTACTGCTTCGGGTGGCTAGCATCATCAGTGGGCCTGGGGGCTGTTGCTCTGCTTTCCTCGAGGCCCACGCACCATGCCACAATGGCGCGGCACTTCAAGCGCCTCAAGCGGGCCGAAGACATCTGCGTGGCTCTCATTGCTTTCTCTCAGGCGCCGCGATGTCTCCGTAAGGGTGTCCAGCTTCTCAGGGGACCTGAGAAATATTTCAAGAGCTCTTGGGTTCTTTGGAGGTCGTCGTGCAGACCTTGCTGATTTGGCGTGGCGTATCGAGTATTGAGCATGGCATGCACGCAGCCCCGCGCAACCCCACGCTCACGCGCACGCCCGCCCCCACGCCCATGCCCACGACCACGATCTCGATAGGGGTCCTGTCTACAAGTTTGCAATGGGTCGTCCGACGGTTCCCTGTTTCATTCGGCTGTCTCCTCATATAGCGGCATTTTGCATTGTCGGAACACATTCATTGGTGCCTGCTTCCAAGTCCACGCCGTGAGCTCCCAACACCTCCAATCATCGCCACCTATTCGCGACCATGCCCTAAGAAATCTTGCTTCAGGAGAGTTACAATATCAGTGCCGATGCGCCCAACTGCTCCCAATTCGAGACGACGGAAAGGGTCACTGGCGTTGCATACTGCGACCGGGGCTGGTTTCAGCAAGAGCTTTCAATCTTCTGAGCCAGGGGCCTGAAGCCTCAACGCTGCACCGCCCTTAAGCCCTGGCCTCTCAGGCGAGTCCATGCTGGCCCTGGCCTTCTTCCTGCTCATCGCTCAGACACCATCCCAAACCCGGGCAGAGGAGGATGAACCCTGGGACTTCTGGGATGTTGAGCCAGAACAACCTCCTAGGCAGGGCGAGAGCGAGGAGGAGATTCAAAGGAAGCAGGAGGAGAAGGAGAGGAAGCAGAAGGAAAAGGCAGCTTTTCCGAAGGACGAGGTGGACGACGAAGTTCAGGCATTCTGGATACTCTTCTCCTTGGCCTCAAACATGGGTGCGCAGCCTTTCCGGGACTTCTATGGGGTCCCGAAGCAACGCCCGGGCCCAAGTTGTTGTGGTTTTAGGTTCGTGTTGTCGCCTGTCATTGGGCAGCCTGATTTGCTGCAGACATTTTTTGTCTTGGCCTGCTGCTGCACAAATCGTGCAGCATTTCCCGTGCTTTCTTTCAGGAGATGTGCCCCGCACAGCTCACACGGCGAGCGTCAGCCAGCCCGGAAGCCCTGCCGCCGGCGCCTCCCCCACCAACGAGCCGCAGTCGACGGGTGAGAAGGAGTAGTAATCATGTAAATTGTAAATCATCCCGACGACATGAGCACTAAGACGAGCATCCAGTGTGCAGCAAGATATTCACTACCCGTGGTCGTGCAGGTGTTGGTCGTGGTGGAGGAGGTGCCAGTGGTGCTGGTGGCGGCGGTCGGGTGGCGGTATAAGTAGTAGTCGTCGTCGTAGTTGTAGTCGTAGGTGTAGGTGTAGTGGTACTGGTAGAGTGGTAGTAGTGGTAGTAGTAGTGGTCGTAGTCGTAGTCGTAGTCGTAGTCGTAGTCGTAGTCGTAGTCGTAGTCGTAGTCGTAGTCGTAGTCGTAGTAGTAGTAGTAGTAGTAGTGGTGGTGGTGGTGGTGGTGGTGGTGGTGGTGGTGGTAGTCGTCTAGTAGCAGTAGTAGCAGCGCAGCAGTAGTAGGAGTAGGAGTAGGAGGGATAGGAGTGGGAGTAGGAGGAGGGGGAGGTGGAGGATGAAAATAGCTTGGTGACTGAAGGCGTCTCGAGTGCTCGAAAGTCCAGAGCCATGGCGTGGCGGTTGATGATGACAATTGCTTGAGTCGGTAATGTTGAACGTGCTACCATGGGGTAAGGATAATAGGTTCGGGAGTGGCCTAGGAGTACTGATGATGACATGAACTAGCCATCGGTGCAGGAGATGCCCATCGCGGATCGGCGCGGAGCCATGGATGATTTGCTTCGACTGAACCTCGTCTGCAGACTGTCTATCAAAGGCGGTCAAGCAGTTCAGGACGTCTGGTGGGTTCAGAGTCAGTAGGGCTATCCGGCACGCTAGGCCCTCAGGTCTGGCCCCGAAGACTTCTATTTTTTAGAGGGTGGCTGCAAGTTTGGGGCATTTGATTTCTCGGCGGTCTGAGGGTTACGGCTTCTCCATGGCCCGGTGGAACACCTCCACGTCGGGCGATGATCTGATTAGTTCTTGAGCGCGACAGGAAAAGACAATTAATTACACTGTCAAGGCTATAGGGGTGGCAATAAGAAGAAGGTGATGATTGTCACCTGCCATTGTTATTTCTGGCCAGTCTTGTGCGGCTTTAGCCATAGTGCTCTTGCTTTGTTCGGACGTATCGTTGTCTTCGTCGTCTTCGTTGCCGTCGTTTCTGTTTGTGTTTTTTGACGGGTTGGTTTGGGGTTTTCGATTTTGAGCTGCTGTCTTTAGTATGTTGTGCTTTTGTGGCTTGTTGGTTGCCAGTTTTTTGGTCTGGTTGTTGTTGTTGTTGGTGGTGCATGACCCCGCACTCGGACTTTAGCATTGCCAGCGCTGTGTGAGAAGCATCACAGGAACTACATTCTGTCCCGCATGGAGCCAGAGCTTTGGGTGCACCTCAATGCCCTCGGCTTCCACCCTTCCATGGTCTTCCACGCTTCCTTCATGCGGAACCTTGGTGGCAGGGCTTCTTTTCTCGAGGAGATCAGAAGAGCAGAAGAGGCAATTTGGTGTAAGTTGGGCAGGCCTACTACTCCGTGCTCTGGCTCAGGGTGTCATGAGAGGGATCATGATTACTTTTGCTACTTTCCACGTTCATGTCATTCTCTGAGGCTCTTCGCTTTCACCTTGCCTGTCACGAGCCTGTTCCGGCTCTGGGACATGCTGCTGGGCGAAAGCTGCCGCAGCAACCCGGCACATTGAGGATTGCAGAACACAATCTTCCTCGCAATGACGACGACGAGCAACTGGAATAGCCAGGTACCACATCACCAGCACCACCAACTGCTTCTGCCGTTGCTGCTGCAGTAGTCGTCTGGGTTGTGGTGGTTGTGGTGGTGGTGGTGGTGGTGCTGGTGAAGATGGATGATCTGGGTGAGGGTGCGTCGAATTTTCATTGCCGTTGCCATAGTCTCCCCAGACCAGCGCTAGTTCTGCGGTTCTGCAATAGCCTCGACCAAAACCAACGCAGCGGCACAGCAGCACGGCAGCTCGGCAGCACAGCACTCCTCGAGTCCAAGGAGACCTCCCAGCCAACAAGCCGGCACGCCACGGGCTCATCGACCTGGCCTACGCCGGCGGCCGGGCGAGATGAGGGCTTCAGGGGGGCATTCGACTAGTAGGGCTTCCGGGTCTTTTCCTGGGCGGGAAAAAGATTGGAGCATCCGAGGCCTGACGACTTGCAAGGATGCGATTCTCAAGTGCCAGAGCGCGGCGGAGGTGCAGAGCTGCCTGCAGAGTTTCTTCGAGTCGATCTATGACCCGAGTTATCTCGTGGAGTTGGTGGCTGCAGCAGAGTACAAGTTGTGGGACAAGGAAGCCTCAATGGCCAAAATCGGCGTGCCGTCCCTGCACACCATGGATTACGAAAATTCGCGGAAGCACTGGGATCGCTACCAGAACCATTACAGGCTTCAGAATTACGTCCTTCGCGAGTTGTGCCAGGACACGAGCACCTCACAATCCGCCTCAATCACTGGAGGAACCATAGCTTCCAAGACCTCGACCTCGAACGTGAACGGCGCGAATGTGGCATTCTCGTCTACTGGTGTGGCCCTTGACATGAGGTTGACAACGAGATCTGTCATGAAGATTTTCAACCAGTTCGTGCAGCACTTGGCCAACTCCGAAAACCCTGCGCACAGCGCCGGCATCTTGAGGAGCTTTGGCAGAGAACAGCCTACCCCTACCCCTAGCAGCCCCACTAGCGACTAGTCGCAATGCAGGCAACAAGCAGGGTGGGCCGCTTCAACCAAAGCTTGGCTCCGAAGGCTACGGAAGTAACAGCAGCCGAAGCAAGAACCAGATCCTAGAGCAATGGAGCGGGACCGAAGGCGTAGCTGCAGTCCTTGTTTCCGTAGTGCCGTAGTTGGAGCAATGAGGCAGTATTCGTCGCAGTAATCGTCGTCTTCGTTGCTGTCGTCCTGGGACCGTGAGTACTTACAGCGACAAAGATCGCACCACCACGGCCGCCGCCACGACGAACGCTGCCCACCACCAGCACCACCACCACCGCCGCCACCACCACCACCACCACCACAACCGCAGCCACGACCGCGACTACGACCACAGCGACAGTGACAGCGACATCAGCCACGGCACCACGGCCCGCGGCACCAGGCCCGCAGCCTGCAACAGCAGCAACAACGGCAACAACACCAAAATCGTCAACATCAGCCACGCAGCAGAACGCTGTGCACTGCTTTGCCCTTTGCACGCGCAAAGCTTCAAAACTTGGGATGCCGGCTGAAGAGACCAGATCCGCCTACGGAGCATAGAGGAGGAGTCAGGGGTAGTAGGAGTAGCAGCAGGAGCAAGAGGAGCAGTAGGAGCAGTAGGAGAAGGAGCAGGGCTGGGAGGGGCAGGAGGCGGAGGAGCAGGAGTAGGAGCAGCAGTGAGAGCAGCAGTGAGAGTTTTGCTGGGAGGGGGTGCGAGTGGGAGCAGGAGTAGGAGTTGGACCCAGGAGAAGCAGCAGCAGCGAGGAGCAATGGTTGTGACTCGTGACCATGGTTCTAATATATTAATAGGAGCACGAGGAGCAGTAGCAGCCCGACGCCCGTTGAGGCAGCTTCCGGTGGAGCTCGTGAAGGCCCTGCCAGAGTCTGACGGCACGGTGCAGGGCCAGGTTTGGTCATGGATCAGCAAGACGCTTGCATGCAGTGTCGGAATCATCCTTTTTCCTCAAGACTCTTCAGACAATGGCTAGTGTCATCGCTTCTTGTTGCTGCGGCTAGGCTTCTGATGTGTCGCGACGTGTAGTCAGTGGAGGCACTGTGCAGGTTCTGTCGAGAGGTGGGCTAGGAAAACCGCAAGCGAGGATGGTGGAGCATTCCGGCCTTGTGGACAAGACGGTGGGGCCGACGAAGCACCCGATCAGTCATCCAGTGCCCATCAAAGCGCAGCCAGGAGACCCGATGTGTGGCAACACGGTTGAAGCTAAAAGAGTGGCATGTGGGGACATCGAGTTGCAGACGACGGGGAATGTGACCGTCAGGAGGAATCGTCGAGCCGGCGATGTTAGACCGCGCTGGCTGGATGATCGTCGTCCAGAAGGTCCTGGGGATCTCTCCGGACAAGGCCCAGTCTCAGGCACCCGCCGCCGGGCCGCCGGGTCCCCCACGACACAGCCCCCCCCCCCCAGGGGCCCGGAGTTGCTAAGCCTGAAGTGTTGCCCGGCGCTGCTAGACCCCGCGGAAGCAGCGGCAGAGAGAGAGAGAGAGATCACTGCAAGCAAGCCAGCAAGACAGATCAGGGCGACCCCGTGTCGCAGAACGTGTGGCAAAAGTGGTCTCCGGTGATCTGGGACAGGCGGGGGTTTGCGCTCTTTGGGGGGGTTAGTCGGTCCGGCATTTTGAACGCGAGGTTAGAGGCGGTGGTTCGGGGAATGCGGTTGCATTGGCAGGCAGGGCAGATTCGGGCAGGCTTCTTGCTTGAGTTTCCGTGATGATTGTTGGAAAGGGTTGCTGCGATATTCTGCTGTGCTTCCTTTCCGTTTTGGAAGAGCTCTTGACACACGCTGGAGGCAAAAGCTCCATGGCCAGAGGGCATGGCAGCATAGATTGCAAGGGCAAGCCCTAGAGGGCCCAATGCAAAACAGGTACTGCATCCCAAAGGAGCCTCCACGCCAGACCAGATGCCCAGACGCCGAACTCTGGAAAACTCGCTTGCAACGCTCGGACAGCCCTGGCCCGACAAGAGTCGCAAGAATTGCCGAGGTTCAACCTGGACCCGATGGAGAAGTTGCTTGGTTCAGAATTTTCAAACCACTAGGAATGTAAAGCCGCGACAGTGCAGACCTAGAAGGTAAGAAAGGTATGGGTAGATTGGTAGCTAGACAGATAGAGAGATCGACACATTCAGGAATGGATATTAGATATACGTGTGCGGAAACAAGAACCGGCATGTGTACTTTTACCGGCGATGATTCATCCTGATTCTTCTCATTCTGCATTTTGATTATGTGGAGTACAGTTTACCGTGTTAAACAGTCGTTGGTCTTCCGGCGAAGTTACTGCGCGTCAGTGCAGCAACATGTGTCTCAGTGTATGACTGTATTGGCTCGTGAGGAGCGAAGTAACCCGAGCCCTCACCCGTCGTGTCCCGGGAGGGAGTATGGAAGTCTGTGGAGACAGACGTTACGATGCCGTCATTTGAATCATCATCCGAGCACATAGTAATAGTAGCCAACCCTTGGAAACCACTTGTGCAACTGAATGCGTTGTACGGTTGCCATTTGATGCAGCGTTGCAGTCTTAAGCCACCACTCGCCGACGTCTTCTGTCAATGACACGCCCGTCATACAGTATAGCTTAAGACTGGACCGTGACAAAACACTGTGCAGCGCCTACCCTTCATCAGATGTTCTACGAACCAGCTGTCTGGTCACGTATCATGTCAAGCCACGGCAGAGTGCAGCGCATCCACTGCACTCTTCGGTTACGCACGGTTACCCCAAACCTTGATCGGCTAACAAGTGTTCAGTTCATGGCCGCTGCGTGTAAGTGGTACAAGAGTTTAGGTTTTGAATGCTTTGGTGTTCCAGACATCCTCAACTTTTGCTGCCATTCCATGGATGTTTATGGGAGCGGCCATGTAATGCACCGCCGATAGTTCATGATCCCATTGTGCTTGCTTCCCTTGTTGCTCAGCTTTTCAGTTGTTTGTGTGGTTTCTGCACTCTGGAAACAGCGAAATCAAGAGGTGAAGCAAAACTATGTTGGGACCTGTGGCACTCCATTAGACGTCAGATGATGCAAAGCCGTGAAGTGTGTGCCTGCTGGTATGGGTTTCTGCAAGTGCAAGTTTTGAATGTTGGTGCTGGCGGTGCAGCAAAGCAAAAGCCCTTGGCTCTTGCCTCCATGTGTGGGATGTTCTTGTGCCAGAGATGTTTTGGTAAGAACGTCGGTGGAAAGTACGGAGAAGCCTTCTTGCGAAGTGATGTTCTGTGAGGGGTGCTGAATGTGTCGTGCCGTGCTCCAGTGTGAGTAGATCCTTCAAATCCTTCGAAGCAATCGAGTCAACGGACCTCGGTGGCTTCTACAGTCCGAGAGAGAGAGACACTCAGAATAGTGTGAAGCGGCATGCAAGGCCCCAAACCCGGCAGTCTGCCAGCCAAGAAGCTAAACCTCCTTTGTATGCGCGTTTCAGAGATTCAAGAATACCGGATGACATTATAGACCCTGAAGAGTAGGACGCTCAAAGCCTTGCTTGTTGTGCGTGTGTGAGAGTCCAGACAACGGGGAAGGCACCAGTCCAATTCAGAAACGCGGAATTGTCTCCCGAGGAAGATGAGCATACTCGAGTTCTTCATGGGCTTGATTTGCTGCTCCAAGGGGACGGTGTCGGAGACTTTGTCAGTCTTTTTGAGTTTGGGTTGTGGGTTTAAGATCAACAAGGTCCGAGCCTCGACGATTTGGCGCTTGGGGCTGGCGTGTAGGAGTGTACCAAGTAGAAACTACCCATGCTGACAAGAGAATCACAGGTATCTGCTATTTTATAGGGTTTTCGTTGAGGGGCTGGTGTTGTTTGGCTCAGGGTTTGACAGGCAGGATAGAGCGAGGTCTGTTGCGATATGTAGTTGTGCCCATGCTTCAGGATGCCAGCCCTGAACGCTTGACATTTAGTCCTGAATTTCCTATCTTAAGCGCCAGTCATTGGCTAGGATGCAGTAAACGTGCCAGTGTGGTGCAAGATTGAATTTGTAGACAATGTTATGTTGGCAGCCCATGGTGGTTTGCGCTGGATGGCCCTAGTTGCGAAGGCTGTAAATTCCCGAGCAGCGCTTCGCAGCTTCGCTAGGCTGTTGTGTCAAGATGAGAATCCCGAGACCAAGGACAAAGCCATCGCCCTCTTCCACCTCTACGCCTTCCACGGTCAGGATCTCCAACCTGTATTCCACATTGTAGCAGTCCAGGAATGCCTTCAACCGGTATCAGGCAAAGTGCTCAACCTGTTGGTATTCATGATATGTATATGTTGCCTTGATGATACAGCCTTTATGCGTGATACACCCGGTTGGGCATGCATTAGTTCTTTCAACCTTACGTGTGACATATATCTATAGATAGATAGATATAGAGGGAAGATATTCGAAAGCAGTGTGCCGTTCCGACACATTTTGTTACTGCTGGTGTTTTCCTGACTTGTATGACCGGGGAGATCCTTAGTCTCCTCTCGTGTTTTGTCTTCAACTGTTCACTCGCCTACTGTTTAACAAGGGCTTTTGGTTCTCATCATCATGCCTATTCTGCAAGATGCAATCTCCTGGCTTTTGAACCGGCGCCGCCCAAACTCATTCCCGCACCAGGAGTTGAAGGTTCCGCACATCAATCCGATTTCTCGTGCCACGGGAATTATCATTGAGCGGAACGAGGGCAAGAGCCAGGAAGATGCCCAGCAACTGGATGGAAACTTCGTCCTTGCTGGGGCACAGAGGTTTTGAAGCTTAGACGGCCCTGTTTTGTGGATCTTCCTTCAGAGAAAAAGAAGTCCATTGTCACAACCAGAAGCTGAAGATTAATCCTCCAGAGAGCTCTTTCATCTCCTTCGAAGAAGGACCCCGCTGTACCTTTGCAGGATCCATGTTGAGGCCGCTTGCCCCTAGAAACTCTTAATGCCAAGGTTCCTGAGAGCTCCAAGCGATGAGGAGGTGAAGACCATGGCTCTGCATCTCAAGGTGCGTTGCTTCACGATTCGTATCTCCAGGTCACCTCCGCATGTCTCAGCTTTTAGTTCAACTGATTACTGCCACGGGGCTGCGTTTTACCAAAACCGATCAGCTTTAGGAACACGCAGGCTTGTCTTGATGGTCATGCAAAAACACGTGGCACAAGCCTACGTTTGCAACGAACACGCGTCTCTTCAAGTTCACTCGGACACCTTTGATGGAGCGCTGCATAGCATTAGTTCTACAGTTGACAGCACGAGCGCCCATGCAATCTTTCGACTGTCAGACTAAGCAAAAGTTCCACTCCGAACCCGAAGCTGCAGCCTTGAAGTACTTAGTCCGCCGTGCAGGTGTGGGTCTATGCGCTGGGGGCCAGTCGACAGGATGAGAAGATGATTGGAGAGGTCTTTGTCCCTAGCCTCGTCCCGTACGTGACCACATCCCTTGTCGGCGGAACAGTAGGCTCCGATCCGAAGACCTTCACGGTCTGGGGCCCGGAGAAGCAGATGCCGCCGGGCTTCTCCCGCGAGCAGGAGCCTGGGCAAGGAAGATAATAGAAGCCTCAAAAACAATCTCAAGGCATTACAACCTCGCTCCATGCAAATAGATGAACAGTCGGCTTCTGACGTGTCGCTGCTCCCTCAGATCTGGTCATGCATTGAGCCCCGAAACCCCGAAGCCAGAGCTAAGGCAGTCTTAGAGGCTGCTTGCGATGCGCAAACTGCTCAGGACCCATCTTTGCTGACCGAGCACGGAGTGCGGCCTCACGTCGGGGACATGCTCCTGGATTTGAAGTGGATGCCCGTGAGTGCCAGCCAGCCCGAGGTGGGACAGCTGGGCATCACACTGATCAGCGTGAAGCTGGACAACCTGGATGCACCAGAAACCAAGAATCCCCGTGTAGAGGTCGTTACTTACACAGAGACCAATTTCACCGAAGTGCGCCTGCCGCGCTGGGACCCTCGAAGCACCATGCGCAAGATTTCGCATCAGCTGGCGATGGCACCACCGGTGACGGAGCACGTGCAGTTTGATCGCACGATGAGGAGAGAGCCATCAACGGGGCGACTCTTCAAGAAGGTCAACTCCGGAGACCACGGCTGGAACAAGGAGGAGAAGGTGTGGAAGTGGGCTCCGCAGTGGGGACAACAGTACTCGGCGGAACGCACGACCTTCCGCAAGGCCGTCTGCGAACGGGCAGTGGTGAGTTCGACGGGCAACACGAAGCCCAATCTCATCACCATGCACGCATGCCGCCTGATCACGGCCGGGATTTTGTCCCGAAGTTTGCAGCCCGTGACGCATCGGCAATGCATCCAGATCGCTGAGAATGTCTTCAGCAGGTGTCAGGCAGTTCCGGGCATCTTGGACGCGATCCTCATCGAGGGAGATTGCACAGGTGCAAGCGAGAGCCTTGTGAAGGCCAAGGAAGAATTCGCCGAGCAAGGGAAGAATTGGACGGACGTGAAAAAGAATATGATCGTCGCCCACGAGCTGCACGTGGCCATGACCCGCGGCTGCGTTTGAGATCTGTCAGCTGTGCGCACTGGGCAGCTTCCGCTTAATTAAATTCTGGACCATGCCCCGCCCCCCCGTCCGCTTCCCCGCCTCCCCAAGGACGGGTTTCGGCCTCGACATGTTCACGCCCGACAGCAACCGGGAGGCCCGGAAAGTCAGTTGGACGAAACCCTGCATGCTGGTTCTAAGCAGGATCGTGCAAACCAGCTCTGGTTGCCATGAGGATTTACCCCTCAGCTCTAAGGGTGCAATTCTGTCTTTGAAAGCGTTTACAAAGGCTCGCCGACGATCCAGTGCTAGTCCGGAGGCCTTTTAAGCTCCACAACCCCTAGCCGACGTGCAATGTACTGGTATGTCGCTGATTGCCTCCTTGTCGCGGCTCGTTCAGCAATGCAGGAAGGCATGAAAGCAGCAGGCGTTAACTTGCTGAGGGTTTCCGCAACAGTCTGGAAAACAAGCGGTGCGTGACCGACCATCCGAACCGCAAGACCCAAAGCTTTACAACTCCTAAGCCTGACGAGGTCGGTAAAGCTTTGAACTTGAGCATGCTGGAGATCCCGGATCCTTACCCAGAGCTGCCAAAAACTCTCTGGCCGCTCGGTTGAAGTGCGTCGCACTCGCACGCTTGCTTCCTTTTGGGCTGTTCATGCTTTTCACAAGTACGAACTGGCTGCCAACAGGAAGCCGTATCCCCCCTGCACAGCACTGCAACAGGGGCAAAAGATTCACTTTCAGCGTTCTCGACTCTCGTTCAGCTTTTTCAGCTTAGGGTCTTGTGCTCGCTTTCCGGCATGAGTTCCTTTTTCAATTGTCCCAAATCCAAAGCCGACGGGATCTACAGGCTTCGCTACTGCCGCGCGGGCGATGGCCAGCGCTTCAACGCGAGGATCCCCGTGGACAGCGATGGTGCGCTCAGAGGCGGCGAAGTTCGCTTTGACATGCCGCTGGGAGCATGAATTTTGATGCTCAGGGAAGTCGTGAGTCGTCATGCCATGCCTTGCTGCTATACGGTATTTCAAGATTCAATTTACCAGCTGCCTTTTTAAACCAGAGTTGAAGATACGGGTCGTGTCTCCATCGATGACCAGGCGATATGCCTCACCGGTATAATGCACTTCGCGTGCAAGGCTACATGATGCAGGCCCAACAACTGACCCTGTCGCCCTTGAGCCTCATGGACTCACAATCTGCGGCAACATGTAGCAATAGCAGGAAACATAGCCACAGATGGTGGCGACAACTTCAACCCAACAGCAGCACTGTTGCTGAGCTATCCATACTACTACTTCGAGGCCGACGACGACGACGACCAAAACTACTCCTACTCCTACTACCTACGGCCACAGCTACTGCCACCACTACCGCCAGTGCCAGTGCTTTGCTTCGTCGATTGACCGTTGTTTTGTACTGCTAGTGATAGTGCGGAACAGGCGTGATGCCCAACACCGTGAGAAAAGCCATTCTGAGGGTCGTCATCAACACAAGCACACTGGCACAATGGACACCCTAAGCCCTTATTCGCGAGTCCCAAACAGTCAATCCCGTGAGCCCAGGAATGTGGCCTCGCCGTCAGAGGCCGAAGCAGCGCAGGTCCAGCTGCACCTGACGAAGCAGGACAAGAATCTGGCAGGGGGGAAATACAACAGTTGTGCATGAAAGTATGATTTTCTTGCTTTTTCCATTAGTAGGACATGCCGTGTCCTGTTTTGAGTTCGTGTTTCCACTGTAGGTTCCCATGGTGAGGTTTTTAATCTGACATTTTTTTGTTGGGTGCGTGTGTGTCTGTGTGTCGGTGTGGGGCGGCTGCCATGGCAATGGATGAGAGCTTTTGGCTGTGTGCTGTTACGGCTGCCTGAAGCTGGAAGTTCACCTGATGATTTTTTCTCCAGTCAGAAATGCGTTGCACATGAACCTGGGATTTCAAGTTCAGGCAGTGTGGATTGTGGATAGAGAGTGAGACTCGCAGACACTCGAAGGAGAAGTTTCGTTCCTTTGCCTCAGTGCACTGTCAGGAGTTCGTGAACTGCCTGATGTCCAGCTCGCTTCTCAGCGAGTCTTTGAGGCAGCTTTCAACCACGGACAACAACAGCGACCACGTACCACCGGCAACGTCCATCCGACTGGACGTGACCATTGCGGACCCCACCAAGGACATGGGGGGGTCGTCTTGAGCACTGGGGTCCTCGTGCGCGTCCGTGCTTCCTCGCTCTCAGGAGGCTGCCGATGCGGATTTGATGGACACATTGAACATCAGGCAGGCTGTCGTCCTGGAGGCCGACCAGAGAGTGCAGTCTGAATTTCTGTGCCGAGCCTGAGCCATGGCTTTTAACATGTTTCAATCCCCCAACGGCTGTGGTAACACTATGGGGTTCTTACATGTAGAGTAAACGGACCAGGTAACAGCAAGGCGCAGATTCTAGGCACACGCAGCCGTCCGCGTTGGCCGGGAGAGCCGAATTCGGCCTCTCCGGCTCGGGCTCGTCTTCTGCCAAGCAGTGCCTGGAAAAGTGGATTTTGGGAATGGCCGAAATGCCTACAATCCTGTCTTCTCGCTCTTCGCTTCTGTTATGTGGGTTTTGCCGCGTTTTGAGGTGGTGGAGTGGTCTCGGATGCAGCCTTGGCGTGGGTCTTCCGTTGATCTCTGTGGTCTTTTGCGGGTTTCTTGGGCCCGTGCTCGGCTACACAGTACTGCTTCAGGAACAGCTGCCTTTTTGATGGACATGCAGGTTGTGGTTGTCGTGTGGCACCGGGGTGGGCGTAATCACCTTTTGTTCACCCGATGTCTGACTCGTCTGAGTCTTGGGAGGACTGTGCTGACTATGCCCGCACTTGAAACGTGCTTCTTCAGCGGCTCTTGTTTTCGCTTGTTCACGACGACTCATATCATATTGCTTTGGCTAGAGCGGTTGATGATGTTCGTCCTTCGGTCGACCCCGGCGCAGTGAAGACGCGTGGAGCTAGTTTCGGCAAGGTAGCAGGAGCAAGCAAAATCCGCCATGCCCTGTCTTTATCAAGAGTGACGTTCAAAGTCCCCACACGGCAATGCTGGCATGTAGTAGAAATGACAAGAACCATGCAACATGTGTTGCACGATACTCTGGTAGGCTACGTTACGCTATGCTATGAAAAATTACACGATGCTATCCTGTGCTATGCTATACCATACCATACCGTACCGTACAGTACCACGCCATGCCATACCATACCATACGCTCCCGTAGCATACCATGCCACGCCATACCGCACAAGACTGGACTAGACTTTGTTATGCTGTACGATACTATACCATAGTAGCACGTATAGCACACATGGCACAAATACAACAGAATATGGAATGATGTGGTGTAATGTAGCAATTCTTTGGTAGCATGAGAAGTGGTGTACCATGACGCAGTATAATGCAACAGGAAACTGCAGTATGCTATAACGGAAGCAGCTCTCGAACAGAACAGTATGCATCACAATATCGTGGAGTGTGTGACATTAGCAGAAAACAAAGAGAATACCATCGAGTATGAAATGCACAGCGTATTGTAATGCAATGTACTTGATGATGAGGTTCAGCGTTCGCGCTATGCCTCCTGATATTCTAGCCTGTGATTTCGTGCCCTTGCAATGCGAGACTCTTGATGATGGCACGGCAGAGAGCGAGAGAGAGACAAGAGAGAGAGAGAGAGAGAGAGAGAGAGCGCGAGAGAGAAGGGCCTGAGGGTCACAACAGTGACCCCTAAGCCCGGCAGAAAGAAAGAAAGAGAGACGGTAGTTTATGATACAACACAACGCAAGACAACAAAATACAGTACAATAAGCTATAGCATAATATACCACAAACTGGTATATGATAAGATACTGAATGGTATAATAGTAACATAGCATGTCATACGACATAGTGCAATACACACTACAATGTTCAGTCTACTATGGCAGAGCAGGGCATAAGACAATTATGTGACTCAACATTTTTTTGACATGACGCAGTATGATATATCTTGCTATTACACAGCAGTGACAAAACACCAAACTTCACAGCGTAAACGTGGCATGACATGTCTTGAAAGGTTGTGATACCATACGTCACGAGCCAACAGGAAGTACTCGTTATATAAAATAGTCTAGTAGGACAGAATAGTGCATAATTTAGTGCAAAGTCAACGCAAACGCAGAGAAGTATAATGTAATGTAGCGCAGCGGAATATAAACTATAACAAAAGTACGTATATGGTGGGTAGGCAGGCATAGACGTGTGATGCTGCACAGATCTGGGACTCGGACATGGGCAAGACTGACGACTTCCTCGGGGAGTGCTGGTTGCCGCCCCTGGGTTCGCTGACACTGGGCCGCTCTTGATAAGCCGTAGGGTGGTCATGATGGCTGGGATGCGGCTGGAAGTCTGGGCTGGAATCACCCAATAGTAGAGTGCCCCCCCCCCCTGCAAGGGATTCTGCATAGGGAAGCTCGATTTTGTGAACTGCATAAGAACCTTTTCCATCCTTTTCCAAAGCCTCGAAGACTCACAGACAAAACAAGTTTCACAGCTTCACTGTCATCGATCCTGCGAAACCTTGTGGTGAGTACAGTTTATCCAGGAAATCAATCATGACGTGGACTTCGGAGCGTGGTTGTGCATCGATTATTCCAGGGTTTTCTGTTTTGGGTTCGGGGGAAGAGCCTTTGCTGCAAACGAGCATAAACAGCAGGAAAGCAGTCCGCGCAACTCAGCCCACCAGGATGAAACCACAGTCCTGTTTCTTTTCAATTGGCACCTTCTGCCCGAAGAGGGGGCGGGGGAGAGGCCTGCTGTTTAAGGCCAAGCGACCACGGGTTTACGAAGTCGGTAGGCTCATATAGGAGCTCATAAACTCGGGATCAAGTACCCCCGAAAATGATGCGAAGTCCTTCTTGGTACAATTCGCGCCTCCGGAAAAGGTGGCATGTTTTCTGGGAGAGTAAATGCCTAATTGCCGGCACAGGGGTGTTCACTCTCGCAGCTCTTCGCAGCGACTGCTGCTGTGTGGTTTCATCGCCGCATGAGTCATGGCATTGTGATGGAATGCTAGTCCCAAGCTCTAACCTGTCGACCCAAGGACCGAGGCGACAAAGCGCTACGTGCTTCCTGTGCAGAATGCCGAGATGGGCATGTCCCGACCACTGGGCTTCACTTTTGGCTGGTTTTCGTTAGCTTCGGACTCCAGGGTCCTGTAGTCCTGCTCTATTAATCCTGCTGCTGCTACAGCAACAGTTTTTTTGCCGCCACCGCTACCGCTTCTGCTTTGGCGACTGCTGCTGCGATCACCTCTGATGGCACTGCAGAGAGCCGACCTTCTTCAACCAAGGAAAGCACAACAAGAAGTTCTCCAAGATGAACTGCGAAGGTGCCACGGGACTGGGTCAAAGAGTACCGAGGATCACCCTGGAAAAGACACCCTTGCGAAGGGCTATTCCAAATCTTGTACTTGTCTTGATGGGCTCTCCTATACTATGCGGAAGCATACGGGGCACTGTGATGCAAAATCATCACCGAAGGACTTGAGACACCAGCTACCGCCCGATTTGCCACAGTCAGGGTCTGGAACACTCCAGCACGACAGCAATACTGGTGGGAGTTAGAACAGGTTCACAGGGATGCCAGTCACGATCTTTGCGATCAAAGAGGTCGTAAGGTCTTGGCTAGCTTGCCGATATGCCTCGGCGGTTGCAAGCGTTGAGCCAAAGATGAGAGTCTTGCGATTTGCGGCATAACACCGCCACCAATGTGCATTCCGACAGCCAGGATGAGCGTGATGCGGCGCAAGCATGACATCCAACCAACACGTACAAAGGCAATGTATAATCTCTTTCTGATAGGACTTTCTGATAGGAGGGTGTTGAGCAGCTGCAGAGTGAACCCTTGCAGCCCGACGCTGCAAGGCTACTTGACAGTGGAAGCATCTTGGATCTTTCCCTCCGAGAAGGCCCCTCCACTTCAGGTGGCCGTGATGCAATTTTGCGTGAGGTTTCAGCCAGGGTATTTGGGGGTCCATGTCCTGGTCTCCTGAGCCAGGGTGCCTTGCAAGTGTACTCTGGCATGAGGTAGCAGAAACTCCAAGAACAGCAACCACAGAAGCACAGCAGCACGGCAGCACAGCAGCACGGCAGCACAGCACCGCAGCAGCACAGCACCACAGCACCGCTGCACCGCAGCACCGCAGCACCGAAGCCAGCGGCACCGCGGCACCGCGGCACAGCAACAGCAGCAGCAACAGCAGCAGCGACAACGGCAACTTCGACAACCGCGACAGCGACAGCATCAACTACAGTAGAACGCTGTCACCAACGACAACATCAACACCGAACATGATGACAAGATGCTGTAAGCGGTTAGGATTTCAGATATGGGTTTCGAGAACAGCGGCAACAGGACGACACCGATAAGAAGCGTCGTGCTGTTATCAGTTGCAAGAATACTACTTAAATTGTGAGCAATAACTGGTGGAATATGATGAAGAGCCACGAAGCAGTCGGGATAAGATGAAACGTGCAACATCAATACAACAGCAACGGTCAAGGAAGGGGCAACCATGGAGCAGCGCGTCAAGCGCGAGGAGATGCTCCACACAGGCCCGGAGTAGGAAATCCGCCATCAGCACGCGCATAACCTTCTGAGGGTTGGCACGTCATCTTAGGCAACCCTAGGCCCATAACCAACGACCGATCCAATCTTCGTGCTTCAAGCTTTTCGGCAAATGTTGGATCTCATGAGTCGCACACTGTCTGAGATCGAAGCTATATTGAAGTAGTGCAGCCCAAGTCCATGTGCCAGTTTTGCGAACCGCCGTTATATGCTGATACATGCTTTCTTGGGTTGCTACCGGCATGATCGCGGGTTGATTCGTGAGCTGCCTGGCTTGGATGAATGCTCTGTCGCTTGGGTGGTTCTTGTTGTGGGATTTGTGCGCCTTTTTCTGTGTGGGACAGACTTGGTGGGAAGTGAGGAAGTGTTACGTGGACTTGTCGTGAAGCAGTGCCTTTCTTGTGCGAGAGTCAGTTCTGAGAGTCGAAAGCACAAAGAAGAACCCCGGCAGGAAAGCTGAAGCTGAAGGTTGTCAAGGCCGAGGGGCTCCGTGGTGCCGACCGGAGCTACCGAAGGGCACGGGCCCCAGCCAATTCAGGGACTTTTTGGGTTCTGAGAGCTGGTGTTCAGGGTTCAGCAGGGTTCAGTAGGCTTCAGGGGTTTGGAGAAAAGTCCAAGGTTCTCGATGCACGTAAACGTGCGCAAATGCATACGCACGTACGTAAATCCATGCATGCATACATCGCTACATACCAACACACACATACGTACATGTGGCATGACGTGGAGTGTTTTGCTCTACCGGGCTACAATAGCAAGTCCACTTGTGCAGACTGCCTTGAGATTTTCTCGCAAGCACCTACTTGTGGATCTGACCGGGGCACTGGGTAACGGCAGCGAGACACTTTCCGGGCACATCGGGACATAGTACCCCGACACCAAGACACCAAGAAAACCAGAGATGCCCATGGCCGGGAGACTGGAGAATTTTTTGACCCCTTGGGATCAGTTCCAGCCAACGAAAGCCTTTGTACCATTCGTCAAGAAAACGCTGTGCCATGAAACCCGGTGATGTGGATACCAGTGCTGATTCGATGAGTCCGCCTGCTGTCAAAGTGCAGTATTGTGTTACATTGTGTTTGCATTATACCAGTCTCCTGTTAGAACAGTTGGGAAGTGATTGCCCAGCCTTTCACCCGAAACTTTCTGCTGGGACTGCCATGCCAAGGAGGGCAGCGACCCCTATGTGTGCATGTATGTCAAGAACGAAGCTATCGGCTCGTCTGACAAGGCTTGGGGGCTTCCTGAGTTTAGTTGGGCTCTGAAGCCTCAGCGGTGAGCATCAGTGGTGTTTGTGCTGTCGTGCTGCCGCGGCGTGCGAGTACGTGTTAGCTTTGCGTATTCGGGCATCCCTGCTGTGAGGTTTGCGGTTTGGAGGTTAGGGCAGGAGTGATGCGAGGTTCGAAAGAGTTGCTTGGAGCCCATGCAGACTTTCGAGACTTGGGCACTCTCTTGTTGCACTCGGAGTTGTGCAGTCGTTGAAGCTTTTTCCCCAACTCCAAGACCAATATGCCTTGTGCCAGAGCTTTCCATCGAAGTCTGTTCCACCAGTGCTAGTTTGGACTTGAGACGTACAGGACCGTGCTAGTTGCGCGATGATCCTGCCTGCAAGCACCTGTGAGGCCAGCATTCCACCGGGCTTCGACGAGGAGGGCTGGCACATGACCGCCCTCCGTCGACATGAGTGCTATTGGACAACGACAACGAAGAAGGCCACCCGCAACCCCGAGTGGAACGAGGAGAAGGATTTCACCCTCAGGACACGGGCGTAGAGCTCGTACGTTGCCAGCAGGCAGGTTCTGGGCCACAGCCGGTTTAGAGCTTTTGCAGGTGTTGGCACCTGGCAATGCAGCAGCGCTGTGACAAGTGCTTGAGATCATGCCTGCCATCGCTAGCACTTGGGCATGTCGCGGTCATTGCTACTGTTACTGGTGCATCGCATGCACGCTCGGAATGCTCTCTGGAACAGTCGGATGCGCCGTAAACCCCGAACGGATCGGGGTGTTAATATTTGGGCCTCGGCCTGAATTCCTAGAAGCCAGATCCCCCTCACCAGGACAGGAGGCTTCGAGAGGCGCACGAAGCAGGCCTTCCACTTGGACATCACCTCGGGCCAGGCCGGTCAATTCGGGAATTTTGGCAGTTTGAGTAATGCTGCCCCTTCGACCTTTCAACGGACGATAGGGCGAATATTGCTACCAAGGCTATTCACAAGAGTCCTGCGAGCATTGCTACTACGGCTGCTGCCTAAACCGCAGGAACATGGTTTCTCTTATTGCCAGTAGTACTACTGATATTGGTTTACTCTTCTTAGTGTTGCTGTCACAAACTGCGCCGATAATATTAGGTATCTCTTGCCAGAGCATGACTTTCAGCAGGAGTGTTTTCGCGTTGCTGCTGCTATGATAGGTCTTGCCATTCTTCCATGTAGTTCTCTTCTGCCACGGGATATTCTCTTGCGAGCAGTTGAAGCGACTGTTTCTCTGTGTTTGAGAAAGTTGGGCCCGAAGGCAGCAAGACCTGCCCTTGCCCTCTGACCCAGAGTGGTCATGGCAAGCCTAGTCATCGACATACCGCTTGTAGCAGTGTAGCAGGGATACAATGCTCAAGATAGTAAAGCTGTAAATTGCATTACAAGTATTCCTTTACTATGGCCTTCTTTGTGTTCGTTCGAATCAGGGGCCAAACAGCCTGGCGAATTGACACCGGAAAGCTTTCAACTTCACCGTCCGTGCCATGCGAAGCCCCCTTTGCACTTGCAAAGGCGCGGCGTCATCAGGACGACTACTACACCGCGGAGCCTCTTCCGGCACTCAGCAACCTTGACAGTAAGGGTGCATGTCATGTGTCCACGATGATATTTCGGCGAAGCGGCAAGCGAGTTCGTCACATGCAATTCCTTGTTCGTATCGTCATAGTCTGGGCAAGTCGGAAGCATCTACGTTCCTAGAACTGTGCATAGTGGTTGCGAGAATGGCAACAGCACCGTGAAGACTGATGGTCAAAGTCATAGCCAAGTTCACGGTAGTAACAACATTGCTGAGAGGAATCGTGGCCATGCCCCAAGGTGCTGGGCACGAAGGAGGAGCTTCGCCTTCGGTTCGGAGACAACGACGACAAAAACTCCAAGGACCAGAAGATCGGATACCCCAGCGTCACTTCGCCTAAAGCTCAAATTTGGGGCTGCAGGCAGGAAGAGGGAAAGGCACAACGTGGCTGCTCCAGGACCCTGCTGGCAGAAACACAGACAACAGCGGTCTCTAGTCGAGCTAGCCGTTTTGAGCCATGCCACATCTCTTCCCGAAGCAGGCCGTTTGTAAGGCACCGAAGCCTTCAGGCACGACAGGATCCTCGTTTGGGAAGCCCCCAACGAGTAATTTCTTCAAGCCGATCCCAAAGGCAGAGTACCCGGAAGCCTTTCTTCATCTTCTGGCTAAGGAAGTTGTCATGTACATGGCAGACAACATGCAGCAGTTCAAGGAGAAGCTGTCCTACGCATGCAAGGCTGAGCCTCATGTGGGTAAAACCCATGACCATTCTGAAATCGCTTGTGTTCAGTGTTCGCGTGGTGGGGTACGTAGGGGGTCTTCGGATTGCTGGGCATCCAAAGAAGCGTCAAGCCTGCAAGACAAGCTTGCTGTGAGAAGGACGCGGCTTGTTTCCATCTCAAAAGCCGACTTGCTTGTTTCAGAAGTACTCGATGTTCATGATGTCATTCTTTGATGTTCGACCTGGTTGTCGTTCTGCAAGATGTGTGCAAGTCTTAGTCCCGTCACATCGAATGCCATCCTCACCCGCGGCAAGACTCGAAACCCCGCAACCGGCGTTCAGTGGGGTTGCTGCCACCTCGGTGACTACCAACTGGCTAAGAGCAACATCTCTGCTTTAAGATAGTTGAGAGGTCGATCAGCCTACAAGGCATCATGCTCCAGTTCTTTGTCTTAGCCCCCAGACCGGTTCCGGTTTCCAGAACTCGGGCTCGGGCTGTCTAGTGGTGTCAGATTGTCTCCTGGCTCTTGTTCCCAGGTTCTGGCGAAGCAGCTTCTAGAACAGGAGAGGCAAGAGAAGCAAAAGGACCCGAACGCAGACAAGAAGCAGGCAGGGTGCTTCGCAGCATCTGCCAGCTCTCTCTACCTATAACATGTACGATTGTATCTAATACCACTATCTAGTACCTTAGCTAATACCTAAGACTTAAGACCTAATCGCTTCGCGTCGTCTGCCTCGGCCTGCAAGTGAAGAAGGCGGAAGCTGCAGGCTTGTGAGGAGGGAGGGCCGGCGAGGTGGGAGGGGCGGGGGGTAATGTGGGAGAGTTGCCGGAAAGGCTGTTTGCCCAGAACAAAACCCAAATTGGGAGGCTGGGGGGAGGGGATGCTCCTGGCAAGCCTAATCTCCGCAAGCAAAATCTCCGGACGTCGGGATTGCCAACCCGAAATCCAATTTAAAGGGGGGTTGCCTTTAAGGGCGGGTTCACTGGCCAAGGGGATTAAGAGATGGGGAAACAGAGAGTCTCTGTGGAATCCTCTGGACCGCTTCGGCCGGGGCCGAGGCGAACTTAAACCTAAATTCTTGATTAGATATCTGTATCTATACAAACTCTTGAAATCCAACAGGTACCATATAACCTGAAGCGCGTCGTGCTAGCGTAGGGCCGAGAGAGAGAGAGAGAGAGAGAGAGAGACGGGGTGGATGCCAACGGCCAGAGGGTCGCACAGACGATCCCTACGCCCAGCAAAAAGGGTAGGGAGAGAGAGAGAGAGAGAGAGAGAGAGAGCTCTCAAACCGAAGAGGGTGGGGGGGCGCCACGGCAGCAGTGCTAGCACAAGGCGATCCAACATGAGCTTGACATGCTATGACAGTGTGTTCAGCCATTGCCAATAACATACGACGACGACGAGGATGATGATGTTGACGACGGTTACTTTTACTGTTATCCTAGCTATTGTTGCGTCTAGCACAAGCAATATTCTGATTCTTGCCATCGCGCTTCTTCTGGTGACGATTCTCATTGCCATGAATGTTAATTTTTGGTACTAGTGCTTCTCTTTCCTCCTGGAGGCCTACAAAACAAGGCGGAAGCATGTGAATCAGCTGGAGGCCGCTGCTAGGGACATGCCTCTCGCCAGCATCTGGAGAGTCCGACACAAGCAGCATGTGATATGTGGGGAGATGCTGGCGTACTCCTGCCAGGTCCTACAGGCACAGCTGCATGGTCTTCGTGCCCTCTAAGAGGCTGCGAGAGCTTGCGCAGCGCGGCAGGGAAGGCTGGACGAGCTATGAATACAAGAGGCTCTACGCTGTGGAGGAGCAGGATCCTTCGTCATGGCAGCCCCTTGACAACGTCTGCACCTTCAGCCACTATGCCAGCCTGTACAGCTTCGGCCACACCAACGCGCAGCGTCTCAAAGTGGCAGACAGCCAAGACATCGCGCGGCTCAACAACAATCGATACCGCCTCTATGAGAAACAGCAGAAGAAGTACTTGGAGAGCTTGGCAGACACGAACACGCCCGAAAAGTGCCGCATCTGAAGATCCTTTCACGGCGTTTCACTTTGGGCTGGTGCCGAAAGTTAAGATTCTAGGGTGTAAGGCCTTTCACAATTGAGAGCATGGGCAAAGAAATAGCTGCTGCAAACTATGGAAGGAATGGTACTAGGAGTCGGAGTCGCAGTTGAGCGCCGTTGTGATGTTACACGCAATCGTCGGAGTACTGGTAGTGCTCGTTGGTAGGTTCTGTTAATAGGGTAGTCTTGATGGTCGCATAAGCCACAGCAATCATAGCCGTCATCAAGAGATATGTTCGAATACACGGAGATTGTGAGACAAGTCAAGGCATCCATGTCGCCACTGTAGTAGTGCCGGAGTGAGGAGCATGTTAGTTTTCAAGAATTTCGACACTTCGATTTTGGTTTTGGGTTTTGCAAGCGTTGCGGACGGTAGCTGAAGGATGCAATGTTTACTGCAACCCCTGCTCAAGAAAATCCACACACCGGCTCCCAGAAGCTTTCCATGTCTGTTGAGATGCCATCTCGCGAGGTGCTTCGGTTTTGCCAAGTTCCACCATCCCTCCGAGACTTCCCCGCACTTGAGAGGGCCTAAAGATTAAAGGGCTGCTGCTAACTGAAGGCCCTCATTGCATCATGAAGACGTTCTTTCAGCCACGCACACTCTGAAGGGAAGTAGAGTGGAGTAGCAGTTGTTCCTAATCTGCCAGGCTGGGAAATGGAGCTCACCCTGTGTTGAAGCAATCCTCCCCAGGTTTCTGTTGGTTCACAGATCATCGCCAGATCATAAAGTCGCAGGTGTGTTGCACAAGGGCGGCCTTCGCTTCTGGCGTGTAAACTGCGCTCACTCTAGCTTGCTCGTTGTTGTTCGCCATGTCGGGTGCAGTGGAGGTTGCGAGAACCACGTTTGAAGCTGATCAGATGGCAAATGCGCGATGTCTGAAATTTTCGTTGTGATGCATGGCAAGATAACCATGAGCTGCAGCCCTGAACCTTAATCCAGAATGTGAAGTCCCTCAACCCAACAATTCATGTCCTCAATCCCGAATCGCCCAAGCGTAGAAAAATAAACTCTGAAGCCGACTCAACCAAGCGAGACGTTGACAGCCCACAACGCTGCTTGTGTGCAAGGACGTCTCCTCCGAAGAGTGGCGGCCCGCCTTGATTGACCGCTCTGAGACCGTCGCCACCAGCAAGCGGAAATACAAGGTCTCCTACGTGACGTGCCGGCAAGGAGAAGCTTGAAGTTGTGCACGGATTTAGGGCTTTGAGGGTAAATGGCTTTTAGTTGCTTGTGGGGGGTTGGGCGTTTAAAGCGTTCTTGCGGGATGTTGCGTGTGGGCTTTCCGTTGAGGATTGAGGTTGCGGGAAGTTTGGGGGTTTGAATCTGGCTCAGGGGTTGATAAGCACGATGCATAGTGCACGGCTTCCAGGCTCCGTGAGGTTCGAGCTGCTGGAAGCCTCGGTGCATTCTTACGGGTTCAAGAGCAAGACGTCTGCGTCCGAGGTCTTCTCTCCTTATGTCGCGGTGTCGGCAGAGTCCAGGGAGCAGGAGCTCTTCGTGGTCAGCCGGGAGTTGTTTTTGGATTCTAGCAACAACAGGATGTCCCGACAGTGGTAGCAACCATGGCTTTTTCGACCGAACCCACCTCTGCCACACAACGCAGGAACAGCGCCAACAGAATCAACAGCAAGAGCAGTCCACCGCCCAGTGCCAACAAAATCAAAAAGAGCAGTGGACCACCACCAGCAGCAAGAAGAATAACAACACGGCTACGAACAAGAATAATCGTCGTGTTAATCAAAGCAGCAAAGAACAGGAACACGCAGTGGGAGCATCGTTATGAGAGGCGACAATTAAACCGCAAAGGATTGTTGTGACGCACTGTCGGCTTACAACTTACTTGGTGAGGCTTCCATCCAAAAAACGTCGCCTCTTCTGTATATTTATCCGCCAGGAAGAGGTCGACGAAGAGTGCGTCCTTTTGGCCCCAAGCATCTGTGGCCCAAGAAGGGGCTTGAGATTTAGACTTCGTTTGATCCCGGACCACTGCTACACCGTAGATCTTGAGGATTGTAGGGTTCGAAGTCTTTATTCAGTGCCACTGTATGGCAAAGGCCCACATTGCGTTTTAGGTTTTGGTTTTGGTGCGTGGCATCTTGTGGATGAGAACGCTGCACCCCCAACAAGCCACTGAGTTCATAGAAGCCTCAGACTCCCTTCCTTCGAGTGTTTGGACCCCTGCCAAACCCCAGCGCTTGCGCTTTAAAGTTCGGCCAAAGTTAAGTCTTCAGGAAGGCTTTGACCCTGACTCTCAGGCAAGCCAAAGATTCGGGACGTGGTGCACGTTGAGCACAAGGAGCTCCTAGCCCGGGCCAAAATCATGAAGGACCTGGGGTCAAAAAGTCGGCCTGAATCCTTAACGCATCCCCTTACCCTTAACTTCTGGTGGCCTGATATCCTGTGGGACACAGGTGTGTGCAGACGGCAATTCTTTCCGACAGTAAAGGGCGGCGAGTGCGTGCACACGTGCACGAGGTGCGGACGGAATCACATCCACTTTCCCGCACGCGCTTCCTCTAGCGTTTGCATGCATGAATGATTATGTGTTGACATACCTTCTTTTGCACATGCAGTGAGCTGTCGTGCTTGCATGTCTCAACTGCTGTATGTCTGTCTGTCTGCCTACGTGCAGGCACGGACGCACCCTGCATGCTTCTTTCTAGATGTGCATGTACGTCTTGTATTATGTGCATGATGCGACAGCATGATAAATGCCCTTCCATTGCAGGTTTGTATGTGTAAGCATATGTGTAGATAGTGATATGTCGGTAATATGCAGACCTATTCCCTTCTATTCCTGCACAACATGAATGCAACCTTAGCATATGCCCAGACGTGGATGAGCATCTGTAAGCAAAGAACATCAAAGAACCATCGTCAACCCAACAAAACCATCACGTGTAAAGCAAACGCATGTGCACATGCATTTTCTTTTGTGTCGTTGCATGTCTGGCACAGGCATGTATCCGTGTGTGCATGTGTACGAACACAGACAGAGATTTAAGAAGGGAGGACAAGTTTGTACATTCCATGTTCGTTGCTTTGGCCCGGGCTTGACAGCATGTGTTCCCTGCAAGTCTGAACCCGAACCCTCTCCAGGCTGGAGCCTCCTTCGGGGGTCTTGTGCATTTCATGGGGGAACTGAGGTTGGAACGGTGACAGTCTGTCGCAGAGTTCCAAGTTTTGGAGGTGGGGATGCCGAGTTTAAGTGTGGGGATGCCTGCAGGACCAGGGTGTGCCGGAGGAGGAGATTGTGAGACAACTGAGCCATGGATTTTATCAGACTTCCCTACCACCGGGCGCCAGAGCCGAATCCGAAATCCCCAACCTGGTCATCTGGATTCCACCACTGAGGAATGCAGACCTCAAGAAGAGTTTCGAAAAGTCCAAGGAAGCCAATGAGGATGGGGCCGCCATGACCGCGCCTCCCATGATCTCTTTGGCAGATGTACAAGATGCCCTCAAGCGAGCAAAGGACTCGACTTGGGCTTTGCAAGTTGGGCTTCGGGGTGGAAGGTGGGCTCCCGCGACTCTTGTTTGACATCGGACAGCGTCCTCGAGAATCGCGCAAAGAAGATTGGGGGTTCGGGGCTTGCAAGGTCATGTGCCTGCCGACGCATCCTGTCGAGTGCTCGCATGCAAACAGGCCCGCATTCTTCAAGAGGTTTGACGGCTAACCGTCCGCTATACTAGAGCACTACGGCCCCGAAACCCTCAGCTGTGTACAGGTTTCTGTTACCTGAACTAGACCCTTCAAGACTTTTACTTGTAGTTGTCGAATCTATGAAAGCACCGTCCTGCTTGGACTTGTCTCTGGAGTGTGTCGAGTCTCACCACACTTGGAAACTTTCAAGCACACCCTGAAACTTTGCTTAAACCCTAAACCCTCAAGCCGCAATGGAGCCCCCCAACGCCTTAGACAATTGCAGGAGGACGAAGCGGACGCCACCTTGGATGGCGGTCAGTGAGACACTCTGATGGGCTTCAGAGTCTCGTATCCTTTTGGCGCCTTGAAGCTCCTAATTCCTAAGCTTTCTGGGCATTTTCAAAGGCGCTTCAAAACTTAAAGCGACTGCTTCAAGCTTCGGTTGTGGCTCGCAGGCTTGCTGTGCAGTGCTGCACTGTAGCAAGGAGGCACTCTTGTAGCTAAGACAGAGGAGGGCAAGACACAAGACGAGTTCGTTCGGAGGGCCTTGGGATGGCTGCGTTCGATGTTCGATCTGGGTCCATGATTAGGTAGAGAAGGGATCGAAACTGGAGCCATCCAAAGCACCCGGCCTGCAGCCCGTTCCCTAACCAAGGACTGTCCACGGACACAAACTCAGAAGGAAAAGCAAAAGCGTCTGCGTGGCCGCCGGGCTGCAAACGATTGGACTTGGACAGTCTTGCTCTGCATTTAATTTACTCCTCGGCATGCAACGAGTATGTGTGCGCCCCGAACTGCTGGTCGCTGCCAGTCTCGTAATCACTGGACATGTCCCAGGATGAAGGCAAGATTTCAAGCCTCCTTTGTGCCCAGGCTGCTCCGTGAATGGTTCCAGACCTGAGCAAAGCCTGCATGCACCAGAGACGTTCTGACAGGACATGGGACAGTCAGACTACATGAAAGTGTATGACAAAGGTGTGTAAGCTGTTTGATCAAGCAAGAGCACATGGTTGGCCTCGATGCTTCTGCAAAGCATCGCTCCCACCTAGATGTAACGAGCGCCATCGACGATCATGGAAAGTACTTGAGTCTGACTTGTACGGATTTCGATGATGTTTTTTTGCTCCCCGAGGCAGACCCGCATCGAGCTGTCTGGGGGCAGTTTCAGACAAGGGGTCTGATGGGCCAACCCACAGCAAGTCCTTGCTACAGAGGACGCATCTTTTGAGTTGTTCGTGCCTGTCCGAAACTAGGCCAGGCGAGTTTTCGAGTAAGGGCAGGGATGTGGTTTCTAAGGGGAAGTACGCATGTCGATACGCTTCTTTAGCAAGCTTAGCCCCGTTGGCTCAAGGCAACGGTGACTTCATGAGAATGAGTATGTTATCTCAAATTAAGATTTTGCAACAGATGGCCCGCATTTTCTTCAATTGTACATCTTTCTGGCACTCTTGTTCGAAGAGTAGCAAGGTGCCTCCAAAATTAGTGCACCATGCATCCAGTTTCACTCATCCTGACATCGGACCTCTGCACTGACCGCCACAGACCGCGACAAAGACAGTCATGTCTGAGCTCAGGGCATGAGCATCCTGGGGACAGGGGCAAGTGAACGGCCTGAGCTGTGAGACATGGTTTGCATGCTGAGCCCTCGAGATTTCCGCAGCAACCCACGAGTTTTGTGCGAGATGTGGGCTCAGACACGGGGGAGTTTTGGCCCCGCAGTTTCTGGAGCTTCATCCTAAATCAGGCCGGTCTCTTGAGTGAAGGGTCACAGCAGGAAGGGCCCCCGCGCAACTTCTACGATTACCACCACCACCGCCGCGCTGCTGCTGCTGCTTCTCACTGCTGCTCATAGCCCAATTGTGCTTCCGACTCCTCCTGTTCGTACTACCACCACAACAACGCCTCCTCCGCCTCCTGCTGCTGCTGCTGCACCTACTAATGCTACCACGACAGGTGGGTGACAAAAACCACGACCGGTACCTCTACCACCGCCGCTGCCACCACGGCCACGGCCACGGCCAATGCCAGTACCAGTACGAGTACCAGTACCACCACTACGACGACGACTGCTACTGCTACTGCTGCGACTACGGCTACGGCTACGGCTGCTGCTGCTGCTACTGCTGCTGCTGCGGCTGCTGCTGCTGTTACTAGTTACTGTTGCAACAGCAGCACCAGCAACAACAACAACAACATCAACAACAACACAACAGCAGCAACAGCAGCAACAACAACAGCAACAACAACGACATCAACAGCTGCTGATGCTCCTGCCTAGCTACTGCTACTGCTACCAGCAATACCGCTGCTACTAGTGCCAGTGCTAGTGCTAGTACTAGTGATGTTGCTATTGCTACTGCGACTGGTACTGCTACAATCACTAGGACCGCGACGACGTACGTGCATAGAACATTGGGGCTTTGCCTTCGGTTCCGAGTTGTGAGTTCGTGAGCCGGCCATCTGTTTCCGGAGTTTCTCAGGACGAACCTCATGACCATAAGCCGCTGCTAAAGCACTGACTAAGCTCTGGCTCAGCCAGGACGCTGCCGACCCTGCTGCTGTCAGCAGAAAGGGCCAGGCTTCCAAAGCCAAGAAGGTGTTGGGGCTCGGTTTTGGGGTTTTCAGTTTCGGGTAGCTTGAGGCGAAATGCCCCGCAGAGCCTGTACTCAACTACAGTTGTTGGAGCCACAGGCCCAGATTTCAAGATGCAGGGAGAGGGGCCCAAGATGTGGGTAAATTCTCTAGGCCCTAGGACCCAGGAGAAGCAGATGTAGTTTTGATGGTCCGGATGCTTTTTTTGGCTTTCGAGCCGTCGAGGACATGAGGGGCCTCTGAGTCTCGACTCCAGACTCCAGCATCGAGAAGTAGGTCGCTTGCTGCAAAGGGCTCGTAATGAAGCATCTTGCTTGTGCCCTGACCTTCCGTTCAGAAGAATCTGCGATCTTTCGGTCGTTACGTAGGGACGCAAGGGTGGGGTGATCCTCAATCCCTGACCAAATCTGCGTATTTTGACAAGGGCCTCGGAAGCGACCCTAATTCGGAACCTGGCCCGAGACCCCCCTCCAAGTGCGCAGAACTGAGCCTCGCTTGCCAGGCTTTTTCCATGTCAGCGCGACTGGCGCTACTCACCTTGCTCGGTCATAGAATACTGTCCTGCGCCTCACTGCGGCATGATGAGGAAGCGCCTTGCTTGTAGTTAGACTGTGGCGCGTAGTTTGCCCCTGTGTGTTTCCTTCACTGCTGGCCTTTTCGACTCGGTATTTTTTGAGGGTTTAGGGTTTGAAGGTCTGCGGATTTTCAGGGATCTTCTGGGCCTTGATTGTCTTCAGCCTTGTCAGGCTTCGACAGGTTTCAAGGGTGGGGCATGGGCGGGAGGGGGGGATGATAACGATCATGCTACTTCACAGCCTTTCCTTTCAAGAACATAGCTATGTAACCTTTAAACTCAAAAAAATAAACCCTCAGCAGCAAAGGGAGGTGGTCCATGTAAACTTGGATTGCTTATGTTCTGACGTTGAATTGTCCTGGGCCTCGTGCTGCTACTGACTAGGTCGATCGGTCGTTTGGCCAAACTCGGGCACCTTTCTAATCTGTAATTCCTCAGGAGCAGACTATACGCCCAGTGGGAACCACTTTCCAGAGAGCTCTGCGTTTGGAAAAGGGACGTCCAACAAAACATAAACCCTAAATCCAAAACCGCTGAATCCCCTGCAAGCCCATAACTTCCAGGCGTCATCCCAAAAATCCCAAATCCTGCCTCCAACAGAAATTGGCTAACTCAAGTTCTTAAACCTTACGGCAGCTTCTATGGTGCAAGCTCGAAACTTCCCTCTTTTTCCCGAAAGTCCGCCGCCAAAGCTGCAAGCCCTCATCCCTGAAGCCCTTCGCCTTACCCTCAAGATAAATGCACGCCCCAAGCCTGAGAGATCCTCGCAGCATCTCCCCAGCAAAGACTGCTTTCAAGCAGTCAGGTTTGTTCAACGGGGGCTCGTGCTCAAACGAAGCGCAAAGAGCGAAGCTAGGAGTGATTTGACCTCCGAGCCTAGACTAATAGTTTTGTCCCAAAGCCCCCGTTGAAGCCTACACACATAATGCATCTATGGCGTTTCCCAGTGTCTTTGTGCTCTCAGCTGCTGGTGGTGCTGCTCCTCCTGTTCCTCCTCCATCGGCACGACGATGGCGACGACTACTGCTAAGGCTACTACTCCACCTCCTGCTACTCTCACGCCTACTCCTCTGCCTGTTTCTTCTCCTACTCACCTACTCCTAGTACTGCTACTCCTATTTTTGCTACTGATCTCGTCTGCCACTACTATGACGGCGACGACGGCTAATGCCAGTCCTACTAATTACTGCTGCTACCACTACCACCATCACCACCACCAGTGCTCCTGCTCCTGCTCTTGCTCCCGCTCCGGGCTCCGGGCTCCGCCAGCTCCAGCTCCAGCTCCAGCTCCAGCTCCAGCTCCAGCTCCAGCTCCAGCTCCAGCTCCAGCTCCTGCTCCTGCTCCTGCTCCTGCTCCTGCTCCTGCTCCTGCTCCTGCTCCTGCTCCTGCTCCTGCTCCTTCTGCTGCTGCTTCTAATCTTACGGCTGCTGACGGCTACTGCGGTTACTGCCAGTGCTTCTGCCAGTGCTACGGCTGCTGCTGCTGCTACTCCAACGGGGGCAAAGGGTGCTGGTAGACTTGCGGTTGCGAGACGCCTGAGACACTTGTCCCTTGCCAGGCAGGTCCTCGAGACTTGCCATGCGGGAGCCAAAACTACTCCTTCTACTGCTTGTCCTACAACTCCTCCTTCTGCTGCTACTACTACGACGCCGACGATGACGGCTGCTACTACTACTACTACTACTTCTACCCGTACTCCGCCTCGTCCTCCTACTACGTACTATGTACTACTTACTACGTACTACGTATTACATACATTTACATACTACTTACTACTTACTACTTACTACTTACTACTTACTACTTACTACTTACTACTCACTACTCACTACTTACTACTTGCTACTTACTTCTTACTACCTACTACTACTACTACTACTGCTACTACTACGTATTACTTGATACTTGCTACTTGATACTTGCTACTTGCCCCTTACGACTTACTATTTACTACACAACATTTAGTATAAGTACTTAGTAGTTGCTACTCACTTCTTACTACTCGCTACTGGCTACATCATACTTACTACTTACGACTTACTACTTACTGCTACTACTGCTTCCTACATACTACGTACGAGTACTACTACCAGATCCGCTACTACTACTACTACTGCTGCTACTACTACTACTACTACGTCTACCACGACGACGA